CAGTAAATTCTGTATCATCTTAACTCCAGTGTTACAAGCACAACTTAATTTCACACCAGCTTGTTCTATCTCTCCTGACAAAAGCCTGTTGTGGCTCCTTTTATCTTGACTGGACATGACGGCTGTCAATCTTAATCATTTAACTTTGATCTTACGTCAGTAAAAATCCGATTGGTCGTAAGGGATATTATCCTTCGAGGTTATGGCGTGATACAAAAATCGGCTTTAACTCCAAAATTCACTTAAGTCCAGCTAGTTAACAGTCAAAACAAAGGAGTCAGGGAGATATTAAAATTATAGACAAAGGATGTATGTATAAACAAAAAACTCCGATATGCACACCATCGTTACTTCAAAAAGCACAACTGGGGGTCATTTTAAGAAATCTTTTACAAGTGTAACAATTGACAAGTGTAGCTATTGTTTTTAGACTCCAAATTTATATTCAATACATTGAGTGAAGGTTGTTTACGAGTTTGCAGGAGAAACTAACGTGAAAATATAACTTCACGGATTATCTAACAAAACAATCACAGTCAGTTATACTTAATGATGTCTAACTAAGTGATTTAATTTGTTGAGGAGATTCTGATGGACAGGTTTCTGTCAATAAAACGCAAGCCAGCCCAAACAAGGTCTCGAAAAATTCATAGATTAGTAAAAACCGTACCCTCCAGGTGAAACTTTATTTTTTCTGGAAAAGCTTTTTTGGTCAAGTAAAAGTCAATAAAGGCCAACGGAATGTATCCTTTGTTTGACCAGGCCACAGCAACCAATTACTGTTAACTAGAGTCCCATTATGACTCCAGGGGCGAAACAGTTTTCCATTCAATGATCATGAAGACCAATTGTTGTTGCTCGAAATATCTATGATTCGTAACTGTTCGTCATTTGGATGCCTAAAACATGCTAAAAGCTAGCCACAATGTGGGTACAGTCACTGACAAGGTGTATGAATTGGAAACTAACCCTCCCCCCCCGGGGGGGGATACTGCCTGATAAGAGGCTAATGGGGATGTGCAGCTGGATGGGGTCGCATTTTTACGACTGGATTGACTATAATGGGGTCGCATTTTCAACAGAGTTATATTACTAGGGGTCGCACATTTTCGGATTTTTTGTAGTAAGACTTTTCTTCGTATTTACGGTGAGCAAACGTACCAGAATGTTTGTACTGCAGATAAAAAGTAAAGTCTTCTTCATTCAATCTAAAATCAAAGAAAGACTATCGTCAACTCGTGGGTACGTTGTTTAGAAAATAATCAATTAGTTATCACCTCTGGTTTTCCCACAGTGAATTTTAGAAAATGATAGAAATTCATATTACAAATATACTATCCTTGTTCTGGAAACACAATACTTTTCTTGCTGTTTATTGCACTTTAGTAACAGTTATTTAAGTATATATTTAAAAACAAAACAAAAAAACAGCAAAACAAGTAAGCAAACAAGACAAAACAAAAAAGAAAAAAAAAGGAAGAAGGCAAAAAGAAGGTGATTAGCGGGATTTGAACCCGGTACCTTCGGTTTGACCCGACCTCACATAGTCACTACGCCATTGAGGATGGTCACGTGATATTGGCAAAAAGTCTCGGATTTAATCCCTTTTCCATGGAACTTCCGCCGGCAAACGATCGAGCCATAAAAACGACTCGAAGCAATGGGATGAAATTAAGGCTAATTGAAACCAGGCTACTGACAAGTAAACGCATTTCATACAAAGCCGACACAACTCCTCCGCGAAGTAGGACGCAAAACATTAGCTTATGTTTTCTTATCTCGATTTCCGCTGTTATTTTAAAAAGGTAATGCTCAAACTCACATCCATTTTCCCCCCGTGATCTTGGGGAGTCCTTAAGAAGAAAATACCATACATTTCACCAGTCCGTATTTTATAGTCCGTATTTTATACCCAGTCCGCAGTCCGTGTTTTATACTGACCGCCATAAATTCATTCATACACATAACCTACTACAGTGCTACAAGGTAGGAGATCAAGCCAGCGTCGAAGTTGAAGGAGTCGAAGAGCAAATGCTCATCTTCTTGTCAAGTTTAACGCCTGGACGGGTCAAAGGCTTTTGAATCGTACTAATTTGAAAGATTCCTGCCTGTCTTAAATTTGGTAAGACCTCTATCCTAACCGTGCTGTAGCGCACGACGCACGCTCGCAGCGAGGAATTTGATGCTACCGAACTTCGGCGTGCGGGTCCTTCTTTGGAAACGATAGATCTTCGCGCTCTCGAGTTCGGACCCGATTAATTACGAAGTGCGTCTACTACGAGTGAGTGAGTGACTCATTTGCATATCTCAGTCCCTGCAATAACTCGTGGTACGCTCGCGCGTACCCACGAGTTAAAAATGGGTCAATTCATAAAAATAGAAAGTGATCATTACACGCTGGTATCCATCCTCGGAGACCCAGGGGCAGATAGTGGGGACGAGGGAAAGTCTAAACGGGCGGAAAAATGTGGCACGAAGAAAAGTAAAGAACGGCGAGAAGAGCCCCTGGGGACGATGTCTTAGCAGACCAGTTCCAAACGGTCGCCGCCGTTCTGGCTTCTGATTGGTGCCAGAAAAACACAAGTTTTCTGGCACCAATCAGAAGCCAGAACGAGCGCGACCGTTTGGAATTAGTCTGGTAAGACATTGTCCCCAGGGGCTTTTCTCGCCATTCTTTACTTTTTTTCGTTCCGTATATATTTTTCCGCCCGTTTAGACTTTCCCTCGCCCCCTTTATCTGCCCCTGGGTCTCCGAGGATGGCTGGTATCGCGAAAATTACATATTTGCCCAAAAGTGACTAAGATGGGGTCGATAATTTAATGCGTTAAAATAAATAACGAATTAAATGCACGCATCAATTAAATGAGTCAGGGCCTCTTCATATGAGCCCGGTTGACCGGGCTGGCTCGGTTACCGGGATGAATTTTGCCTTGGGTTCATATGAGAAATTTTAGCCCGGTTTCCGAGATGAGAAAAGGTCAAAGATCCTGGGTACGAGTTCTGGCGCCAAATTTGGGAAACAAAGCAAACACAAAAATTTTAACTTTCGGGCCTATCTTAGCATCGGTAACTCTTAAAGCTGTATCACTGCAGTTAAATGGGATGCTTATGATGTGGAAAACACAGCAGGCAATGCAAGACGAGGCCATCCGGACCGCCAGAATTCATCCCGCCATTCATCCCGGTAACCGGGATGAAGTGTTCATATGGCAAAATTTCCAGCCCGCTTACCGAGATCTCGGTTGGAAAAACCGAGATCTCGGGAACCGAGCCAGCCCGCCCTCTCATATGAACACATGGAAAATTTTACAAAGGATTTAGAGGTGAGGCGAGATCTCGGAAACCGGGCCAGCCCGGTCAACCGGGCTCATATGAAGAGGCCCTCAATGAGTAAATAAAGCGCCCGCACACAACCTACAAGGAGAATTTGTCGCGTGCGCGTGTCGCAAACGCACATAAGGATCGCCAAGCGAGGTGTGAATACTAGTATTTCATAAAAAAAAAGTATCAAAAAGTATCAAATGTTTTCAGATGAACAGAAGTTTCGGGTGTATAACCTTTCTTCGGTGTGAGGAAAACCGTTGTACTTTCCTCACACTGACGAAGGGTTATAAATACACCTGAAACGTCTGTTTATTTTTTTGAAGGCATTTGCTACTTTCTGGTATTTTTTGTAATGAAACTATCCCTTCTTCATCTATCTAAGTTCAAGTGTCACCATTCTATTCACCATTCATTAAGCGAAGTGAAGTCTTGCTTTGGTCATAAATATCTCTCTCTTTCTAATGGGCGAGCAAAGGCGGCGTGAAAACAGAATAAACAAAACCGCAACAAACCTGGGGCCTGTTTCTCGAAAGTTCCGCGGTAACTTTCCGGGTTGCCTGCGTCGCAGACGCTCTAAACCTTCGCGCGCGTGCGCCGGCTACAACGCACGCTACTTTCCGGGCCCTGAAAGCTGTTTTCTGATTCCCGGGTTTACATTCAAGATAAACGTTCTAGTTTGAAAATGGTACGATGAAACTATCGTTAACGAAGCAACTAGTTTGTGAGCTAGGAACTGTGCTACTATTTACATGTAACAAGTTGTGATTTTTAAATTTGCCTTCGGGCCTGAAAAGTTTCCCGGCCTTTCGAGAAACGGTTGTTTTAGCGGCCACAGGCAATTCTTTTAGCGATAAGTATCGCAGGTAGAAGCGCCTTTAACAGAAAATGGATGTGATTTGGACCATTACTTTCAAAATAACAGCGGAAATTGAGGTAAGAAAGCATATTTGCGTCTTGTGGGACTTAAGGCGGTGAGGGCCGGGATATGTGAGTTTAAATAAGGTTATTTTTAGAAGTCCATTCCCCACCTGGGACGTCTGCAAAAATTCAGTTGATTGTTTAAAACGTCATCAAGTACACGTGCGACTGCTTCAGAGCAAACCATGTAGGATATTTTGATGGGGACCCACCAAGAGATGTCCCCTTATTCCCTCTTGACAAAACTGAGTAAAAGTTTGCGGACCTCTCCGAAAACCAACTTCCAATTAATTAGACTGTTCACAGTCCCCTATTTTTTTGTGAGATCGTTGAGATATAGCGCGTCTTTTAATGACGTCCATCTTGGTTTTCAAATGTACCGAGGGGGCGGGCGTCGGGGATTATAGCCCCCTTGCCCCCTAAGTAGTTTTGACACTCATGCAAGATGCAGGCCGAAACGCAAAGCGCTCGATCTCGATGGAAAAATAGAGGACTGTGAACAGTCTACCAATTAATTTCAAGTGTGTTAAAATTGGTCTGAAAGTAACTTTAGTGAAACCCATATATCCCAAGGGCTAGACTGAGAGCTTCTTTCTCTCCCTCATTATTCTCCATGCCATCAACAGAAGCTTGGACAGAGCAAGCTCAAAGTGAAAACCCTTCAAAACACTTGGCTTTTTCGTCCTTCCCATAACCCCTTGCGCCGTGACAGGTACGAGGCAGGCTGGGCACTAGGTAGGTTCTGCAAAGCGCGGAGGCGCGAAGTTGTGGAGACGAGATCAAAGTGGTCGATCAAAGTGTACTGTGCTACAATCTGACCGACAAACAAAGTTTTCTTCTCTTGCATTGGGTAAAATATCTCAGGAATCGTATGTCAGTGCAAAGTAGATCTGATCTGAGGCATATTATGTCTCTGGGGAGCGCGTGAATATTGTTGATTCGTTTTGTGTCAATGGATGGAAAATTGTGATCGCACCTGCTATGTTGGAACAATGACCAAAGTGTGGCTGAGGTATTTCATTTCTATGGCTTCTATCCTGTTATTAATTTTAATGAATCTAAAATCTAAAAAGCGAATAAAAGGGAGTTTTATGTTGTGAGTCTCGCACCTCAGCGCCTGTTTGTAAAACTCGGTTAAGCGGTGAGGGATCCGTAGACCGCTCTGCAGATCTCGTTGAACGTGCTTTGCGGTGGAAATGGGGGTTCTGTTTTACAGTTTGACCAATTGCTGGTTTATTACTTTGTTTATTACATTAAGCAAAGTATCATTCGTCGGTAAGTTGAATTGCTTTCCTTTAGTTTGACCGCGGCCCGTGTAAACGATGTCGCGTCGATTTCCGAGCGCTCAAGTTCTTCGTTTAGTACTTGAATGCAACCGTAGCTGATAAAACTAATTCCGTTATTTAAGCTTATCTATAGTTTGACAGTGTGAAAAGTAATGAAAATGAAACAATTGTCGTTTTTCTTTGGGTTAATAATGTAGAAAGCTTATCGATTTATTCAAGCTCATTAAAAGATTGTTTATTAAGAAGCTGCCATAAGAAATACTCAAATGTAGTTGTGTTACTTCTTGCAGAGAGTGTGTCCATCACTTTAGAACCCGACAACCCTACTCAAGTCCTGGTCAAGAGCGAAGTGGTTCTACGATGGAACTATACCCTCGGTGGAGATCGATTCAGGGAGGTTGAATTCCGAAGGACCAGGACCGGAGCCGATGAAAAGATCGGACTGATAGATAGAGAGGTGTTTTTGTACTTAGCATTCCGATCGGGGCGATTTGAAGTTCAGGCGCCGGCAACCTTGGTAATTCGCAATGTCACGGCGGACGATGCAACTGATTATATACTCACAGTTGAAGCTAAAACATCTTCTGATATAGTAACCGCAGAAAGTTCAATAACCCTCGATGTTCTCCGTGAGTTTCCTTTTGTTTTTTTAATGCTTGTTTAAAGCGCAACCAGTAAATCCTTGATTTGTCTTATGTGTGCTGTCCTTCTGTTAAAGTATCTAAAATATTGGGAAGTTGTGCGAAATTTAGGAGGTTGCATGGTGAGAAGAAAATGTCTACATATCAAAAATATCTTTATACATGTATGCGACAAACTTAGTCCTGTTTCAAATGTTGTACTACTGCTGTGCTGAACTCAATTGATAGAATTAATTCTACTTTGGCACGGTAGTGGTGCAACATTTTAATATAAATCATTTTGTTCAGCAACTTGAATTTAGTTCACAGCAATTAAATTTGACCGGGTCTGCCATGCTACACAGCAGTAACACCACTTGTTTTCAAACGTCGTGCTATTGCTTTGCTGAACTCAATTCATAAATTATGAAAATGTGTATGTTTAATTGTTTTGACTCTACTGCGCTTGACTGCGACGTTTTTCTTTATTTTGAATTTGACGCGACTGAATTGAATTCAACGTTTAAAACCAATCCCTTGCCATTGCCGTGCAACTTCCTGATCAAATTCATTTGAGTTTGACACCGCAGTAGCGCAACATTTGAAACAGGCCTTACATGCAATTTTTCTGAAGATTTCATGATCAAATGGAATTCCTACTGTCATTAGATTTGCAACAACATTTAATACTCTGCTCAGTAGCCTTGAATTAGCATTTTACACGCAAATTTGTTTATATATTACTTTTAAGAAACCTGACAATCATTTATCTTAGTCTCAGACTAAAACTAACTTTCACGTATTCTTGTGGTGAAAACAGTGAAGGAATTCTTGACCTTTTACTGGCGCTTTAAGTTTGCAGATGGAAATAGGAAGTGTATGCAGTGATGTTGTCTCCCAGGACTGACTATAGTTTTGTTATGATTTCACTTTAAGCTGCAGAAGACACATAATGCCAACAACATCCACTTACCTGGCAGTTTCTATTATGACTGCAATATCTTTCCTTACAAAACAATGTGTTTTTTCACCAAACAATGAAACTGTTAGTCCAATATCTGGTCATTTCTGTGGATACCATGTAGCTCAGAAGTGGGCAGTGACCTAAAAAATGCTTCAGTTCTCTTCCCAAACAAAGATTTAGAAATGCTTTTGTGAAAGGCTTTGATCAATTTCGCAGAAGAATGTTTTGAAGAGGAAAGCCTTTTTTTGGTCTTGCCCCCCAAACCTGCCTGGGACACAACACTATGTGAGTCTGGTATAAGGTAATTGCCAATGACCAAGCCGAGCGAAGACGGTTGGCTTGCGAGGTGGCCAGCTTAATGCCACGCAAAGTATTGTGGCAGGCAGAAAAATTCTTGATCGTGCTGTAAGGTGTAGATTCCCTGGGGATTTTAGTGGCGTTAGATTTCAGTTGTAGTTTCACGTGACTTTTGATGACCTTTGTTGTAAACAAACGAACCTTCAAAGTTCGGACAATGTCCCGGAACCCAACGCCTGCCATGGTCTACACTATGGAAATGTAGTCACATCTACATGTACATTTTACATGTAGTGGATGGGACCTTCCTAGGATCATTTTGTTCACACCCACTCATAATTTCATGACTGAAACCCTGGTTGTGATGGTTTGAGTTTTAATCTTTGGAAAAAATTTGCTTAACCAGGGGTCGACAGGAGCTTTTCAAGTTGGTTGCCCTTCAGGGAACAAAGCCTCACAATTTAGTCGTCAGAGGAAGACTATTACCGGTAGTTGCCCAAAACGTTCGGTACAAACAAATTAAATAATGATATAACTGCAAAACAGTGGAGGCATGTGTGGCCAAGCGGTTAAGACAGAATCTGTCAGGAAATTGAGTAATTTCAATTTTCAGTGGACAAAAACCTTATACCAGAATAATTTAAAGCATATTGCACTCTTTTTTACATTTTTCGAGGGATAAAGATGTAGTTAGTCATCAGTAATAACACCAAAAAAAATTTCTTATGGGAGCCCAAGAAAATAAATGTCAAATTTTACAATATGACATCTTACACATGAAATGTTCAGAATTTTACCTGTGTTTTCACAATTCTTGTGAAATTTTGAAATTTATTTTCTCGGACAGAAATTTCAGTTGCCCGATCTGGCAACTAGGATCCTGAACTTGGTTGCCCTGAGGAAATTTTTTGTTGCCTTGGGCAAGCAGGCAGCCGTAAATGCCTAGCCCTGTTAAACTCAACACAATTTGTAAAATTTGATTTAATTTTTTATTATAGTTCCAGTGAATTTCACCTCTGTGCCAAGTAACAAGACGGCAAATGAAACAGACGCAGTAACTTTCCTCTGTAGTGCTTCTGGAAACCCAGTGCCAACAATCACATGGCTGAAAGATGGACAAACAGTGGGCAATCAAACCACTTTAACATTTACTGTATTCAGAAACCACTCAGGGAACTATTCATGCTTTGCAGATAATGGCTTGAATATAACTGTTACTGCCAGTGCTTACCTTGATGTCCAGTGTATGTATGATTTTTTTTAGGTTTGTGCATGAACGCTGTAGTATGCATAATTCATGATTGCAAAATGGGAGAAAAAATTGTAGGAGGCAGTTGAAGTATTTCTTGCTACTTTTACATTTGTATGTTTGGTTGAGTTCAGAAAATGTAAATAGTTTCATATAATTTTTGGCTTAACTGGAAACAAAAACGTGCTACTAAGTTCACAAGAGAGGTTTTACAAAAAACTGCATCTAGATTCAATTTTTCAAATTTTAAGATTAAATTTTACATTATGTATTTGGGGTCATTCAAATTTTTCACTTACTGAGCTTATGCTTTAAAAAAGTGCATGGGAACCTTCATGAAAATGCCAACAGTGCAGTGCATAGCCAGAATGTCATCGTCACATCGTTACCCAAGAATTAATTTTGTGGTCAACAGGTCACAAGGGAGTCTATTTTAATTTGTATCTCAAAAATAATAAGTGTCATTTAGTATTCTAAGATGAATGCAATTAACTTTTTTTCAAACAAATTATTTTGCTCTTAATTTCTCTGTGACTGTATAAATATTATTAAAATATGAAATTACTGATTTTTCCTTTTGCAGTCAAGCCTGAAAATACCCAACTCTCAGTAGGCAGTTTAAACACCAGTGCAGTTTTACTTGGTAGCACAGTTACCTTTAACTGCTCCACATCTTCATACCCATCTCCACATGTTTACTGGTTTTACCACAATGAAGTGTTCATTGGCAGTAATGTCAGTGGGTTTTACAACCTAAAGATGAGTAGAAGTGGTGTTTATTCCTGTTTACCTGTAAACAGGGCTGGTGTTGGAGAAACTGCAACTGTCAACTTGACTGTTGTTGGTAAGTTGTTGTATTGTACTTCTAATCTTTCTTCGGGGGGGGGGTTACAGTTTACAGGGGGGTGGTGTGAGTCCCACATCTTTGTAACTTGTACTTGTCTTGTTTAATTTGAAAATACCATTAGATGGCATTAAGAAAGAGCCAGAGATATTGAATTGAGTAGAATTGATTATAATATTATTATCATGTTTTAGCAGTCAAGACATGCTTTTGGCTTTGAAGTTAAACCTCAGAAGTACATGTTAAAAATAATTAATAATAAAAGAAGCTATTTGGACCATAATCTTAAAAACAATGGTGAAAATTGAGTTGCAGTGTAAGAGAACGTTGATTTTTGTATTGCATCTCATTTCGTAGAGGTCTTTTGTTGCCTGTGCTTCTCAGTCTTACATTTATGTGATGAAATGCATCTTGTTTTTTTTTTTTTTTTGTGCATCTTCAGAACCTTGGATATTTTCCTGAAATACATATTTGAATTCATACTAGGGTTTAACTAGCTTTAAACAGTGTTTTTTGCAATAATTTATACAGAAAATAATCAATGCTTAAAAAATATTTTTGATGATGCAGTGTTTATTTGCCTGCACAGCATTTTGGGATAGCTGGTTCATTGCCAGGCAAACATTGTCTGTTCAATACCCACTTACATGGTGTTTCTTTTTTCATACCCTTATTTTTCTCCTGGCTTGTTTTACCTTTATCTTTATACTCTTGGCCCTTTCCCCTAGCTTTGCGCCAAGTAGCAGGATTGTCACTAAGATTTCCAGTTTTGGGGTTTATGTGTATGCCAGTAATACAACAAGAAGGTTGGGGAATCAAGCATCTCTAGGGATTTCTTTTGGCCTTTTTTTCGTGTATTTGTTAATGAAATAGCTAGGGGTCACCTTCAAAGTAGCTGATGGAATTCCCTGAGGCTCCTGGCTCTTGATGACAACTCTTTTTGAGGTAGAAAATTGTTGTACATGTATTTCAAGCAAAGGCTGTGGGATTTAATTAATTGAATTTACACTTAAATTCAGGTTTATATTTCTAAACCTCTGACTTAATCATTCTATTCATACACTGTACATAAGGGCTGTCACTAAGGCAACTCCTCATGAGGATGACTCCTGCTACTTCATAACAAAACATCAGAAAAAAAGAAGCAAAAGAACTCTCTGATAATTGTTCAATTCCCACGTACTAATATATAACAATTATTCACCAAAGTAGAGGTGGCTAGTGGTGGTTCGCGGTAAGTAAATCAGTGAATAATTGTTTTAGTATATACTAAAACAGTGAGATAATTGATAATGATTTTTAATTAACTCATTTACTGTTGCCAACGATTACAATTTTGGTGCGCGATGACCGAACGGCCGCGGTCGTCGCTTTTTCTTGTCAACAAATAAAACTTTTGAAGGCATTTGTTTAGCTCCTGCAGGGAAGTTTCTTCAAAAGGAGTTGTGAATTCTTTTTGTATTTAAACTCATTCTGTAAAAAAGATTATTAGATTTAGTTTTAAGCTTATTTATGAACAAGTCAACTAAATAAAGTAACGCAAGACTTAAGCTTAATTTGCATTTGTAAACAAAAACTTTTTTCACCGGTTTTATTGATTAATTCAAGTCAAAAAGACAAAGCTTTACCTGTTAAAATTTCCAAACCGAACTTCGTCACCTTTTTCATGTATTTCGGGAACAGCTTGCATGACTAGTTGTGAAATTTCTTTGTTTGTTACGGCAGCAAACCAGGAAGGCATTTTGCTTGCAACTTACGTGAGTTTGGCGTCGCTCGGTCGGAGGAACTGGAGGTGAATCAGTGAATAGTGCAGGATATTCACTGATTGAGTAACCAATCAGAGCAGCAAAAAACACTATCCACTGTTTTAGTATATACTAAATTGGAATATACACATCAACTTGAAATCTTGGTAACAACCCTGACACATATACTACAGTGACTGTGTGGAGTGCAATAATAATATTATAATAACTATGAATGGATTTTTTTAGGAAAACAATACAATCATTTACATGTAGGAATATTTTGATTGTTAAATAAGTTTTACAATACTTATTTTGAAATTGACCTTTTTTCAGATCTACCCAGAGTTTCAGTCTCTCCAGCATCATTAATTATTTTGGAGGGTATAAATAATGCAACTCTGACATGCAATGCTACTGGGATTCCCTCTCCTGTGATAACTTGGAGTTTAATCAGTACTGCTGGTGCAAGTATCCTGTCTCAGTCAGCAGTCCTTAATCTGTTCAACATCAGCAGGCCTGGGACACCTACAGAAGAGCTTCATTACCAATGCACTGCTTCAAATGGAATTGGGAATCCTGCCACTGATAATGTGACCATTACTGTCCATTGTAAGTACAGAGTGCCTGTATTAGCTTGTCAAAAGTAAGTTGCCACCCTCTTGCAAGTGAGTAGTAGGTAGTAACTGAGAGGATGCCTCATCTCATAAAAAGAAATTCTTGTCTCAAGAGACAAGATCCTTACACTTACACAGTTCGTGGAAATGAAAGCGACACAATTTACAGCAATAGTTCCCTTAAGTTTGTAAGGTCTGAGAGCAAACATCAAATCACATGGTTTTCAATTGCACAGTCTTGAAAAGTCCTTGAATTTTAGGGGCATCCTTGAATAGTCCTTGAATTCCATTTTCCTTGAAAAGTCCTTAAATGTTAGTCAAGACAGTTGAACTGAAAAATGTACAGAAACTGGTGGAGCAAACAGTTCAAGCCTAAAAGTCTTTTTAGCTTGGACTGGGAAGATGCATTTAACAACTGCGTCGCTCAGTGGAGGTGGGTGCCTGTAGTGTCCAGTGGCTTCCACTTTTTGCAAGGCCAGCCCCTAAATAGAGTTACTCCCCCATGGCTGGTAAACCCGAGCTTTCCAGCCTTGAGCTCCCACACCAATGGAACCAGTCACGTGTCACACTGATTTATCAGTGGAAAAATAAAGAGGGGGAGGGATGGGGGTGGAACAATGATCCAAAGGCTAAACGAAGAGAGCGGCTGCTAGGAAATGCTGTACCATGCACATGGAGATCATGCAAGCAAAGCTGACTGTGCTTAAGCAATCGCACTGACCACTGACCGACACAACACACACCTACACTCCTCATTGTTAACTGTGTTAAATTACATTTAACCTTCATTTACATTCTTACATTCCTGGTAGGTTATCCTTGAAAATTGAGTGAGGTCCTTGAAAAGTCTTAAAAAAATGGATGTAAATTTTTGTTTCAACCCTGAATCTGTTGTGGAAATGGCTGACTTTCTTATGTGTTCATGTGTATGAAAATTCATGGTTATAAAATTAATGTACATGTGGTACACTGTACCAGTTGTGTTATTTTAACATTACACTGTACATGTTTGTGAACTGTCCATGGGCACATACATGTACAGTACATTGAAATCATTGTGTTGAAATCATCAATTTAGTTAGGGGAAATAATCCATTATGCTGCATCAGGCTGTATCCAATTCCCTGCTGAATTTATAGACAGTGTTCATGTAAATCTTAAAATTTTGCTGTATAATTTTTTGATTTTTTTAGATCCTTCTAACATTGACCAAGCTCCATCCAACAAGACCATAGTTGAGGGAAGCAATGTCACTCTTCATTGTAATGCAACTGGTAGCCCAGCCTCAAATATTACATGGACAAAAGATGGCAGTCCAACAGTATTACATGAGGGAGAAGAGTATGTCATTAGTAACATATCACGACAGCAACATGGCAACTACAAATGTACAGCATGGAATGGTGTGGGTGAACAGTCAAAAACAAGCTTCAGCATAAATGTCCTTTGTAAGCAATTTTAAGGGAATTTTTTTCTTCATGTAACTGTATTTTTTATTGGAAGTTCACTTTGGTGGAAGGTCATTATATTTTACAAAGGCCTTGGAAGATGGGCAGAAATTGTATTAATAAGCAATCAAATGCTGTTATTAACTATGCAATTTAATATGTACAGGTTGCACACTTATCTCAACAGCTTGTCTTTAACCCACTCACTCCAGGGAATTTTGCCAAAAAACTTGTTTTGAAGCTAGTTGAGTTGTTTTCTGGTCACTGTTTGGCCATAAAAAGCCAAGTCTTACCAAAAAACTGTTTTGAAGCTGTATATTTTGTGTGCACTTTATAATCGTCTGAACTGGGTGCAAAATTTGAAGTTTGGGCATGCGCAGAATTAAGCAACTTTTCAGGGTTTGGAGTTTAAAAGAAACACAGCACGCTTGACTTTTCTTTTGACTTTCTCTTCTCCTCTCTTCTATTGCTTTTCTCACCTCGTCGTGCATTTTCATCATGGGAGTTTTTGGGTCAATGTTAATTGGTTTTTTTTGCCTTTTTCTCTGGGCCTTGTTGAATGAAGTGTGCTCAGGGTTGTCACTAAGATTTCAAGTTGCCGGGTAAATACAACAAGTAGGCGGGGAATCAAACGGCTAGGGATTTCTTTTGGTTCTATTTTTCTTCTATTTTCCAATAAAAGTAGCCGGGGGCCACTCTCTTAGTAGCCGGGGAAAATCCCCGGCCCCCGGCTCTTAATGACAACCCTGTGTGCTCATTCTGGTTTGGTTTGAAAGATTTCTTCACCCTGCACAGTTAGATGACAAAGTTGTCTTTGACCATAGAAACTGATGACATCACAAGCATAAGATGGGACATGGATCCGCATGGGTGATTTGGAGTGTTTCAGGGGCAAATGGGTCAAAGCACCCATAACCTAAAAAATATATTTATTTAATTGAAAGTGCACATTGCTACAAGAACTTCTGTGAAAAAATTTGTCGATTTGAACTCAACATGATTTTTTTTTAGATTTTTTTTAACCTTTAAATTTACCACCATCAATTTTGGAAACCTGGGGAACAAAAGAGCCGTGACGTAGATCAAGAAGCCACAAATTAAAGAAACACATTCACTTAAGATACCATGGAACAAGTGTAGAGTTCTAGATTTATTTCTGCCATTATACAAATTGAAACAATTGTTAAAAGGTAAAACATTCCAATTAGGTACATGGCAGTTACATGCAACAACACTGCAGGTGACCCTAAGAAAGGGATAAGCATGCATAAAATTGTGGTTTTCAGTTCCTGAATTTATGTCTTATTACAACATGTAATTAGGAGCCTGTCAATACCGTTATCACCACAACAGTTGTGCCAAAGGTATTAGACTGAAATTTCTCTTAAATTTTTTTGAAAATCTCCAAAATGCAAAATTTTTGCGAGGAAATTTCTTTTTGTAATGTGCTCTTTCAATTAATGTAACAGATAGGCACTTAAAGAGATCAAGTGGCAATCCTGGAAATGTTTAAAACACTTGAGAATCCGTAATATGTATTGCAGCTGTTCTTCCAAGTTAACTTGAGCTGCTTTTCAAATTGCTTTGCTGTTTTCTTCCAAAGTTTGAAGCATTTTTCAACAGTTTTCTAGCCTTTCAAATAACAAAATAACATTATAAAATTGATCTTCTCTTTTAATTTTGCAGACGAGCCTGCCATATCTATCCACAAGTGTCCAAGTCCAATAACAGAGGGTAGCAATACCACTTTATACTGTAATGCAACAGGCAATCCAGTGCCAGTTGTTACCTGGATATACCAAGAAACAGGTGTCATTGTTAGCAGCACAGAGGAGTTAGTTTTTACTTCCATTGATCGTAGTCAAGCTGGAAGCTATAAGTGCCACGCATTCAATGGTATTGGTTCTAATTCTACAAGAAAGTGCAGTTTGGATGTGTTTTGTAAGTACAATTTATTATATACCGTTATAGTAACATCAAGAAATAATCATAATGTTAAGGGAGTTGTTGACTCTGCTAAATCCTTGGTTCTGATGATGCTCTTATGGTAGGAGCAGTGATTTTGTTACAATTTGTCAATAGTGAGCCCTGGGACTCATCTCATGAAAACTCATGAGTCCTAGTACAGAATCAGTGAGTCCTTACTATATTAAAAGATGCCAGAACTCTCATGAAACCAGATAATCACATTTAATCTGTAGTCTACTTTCAATGGCTAGCTGAATAGGAAAGCACTTATCTCTGTAACATATTACAGTGTACTGAAATTTATTAAATAATTATTACAGTCTTCCTCACAAAAAATTTCTTTTTAAAGTTAACAAGCCCTAAAGCTTTACACAATCAGTTAGAAGGCAGCTTTGCCGTATTATGAACCACTGTCCACCATCCTGCTTCAACCACCTGCTTTCCATACAGTATATGGCAAAAATAAGGAGTAACCACTCCATCAGTAAAATAAACATGAGCGCTTTTAAAAAAATAGTACCTGAGAATTATTTTGTGTGGAAATATTTGTCTAGTACTCGTTTGTTTGGAGGTAGCTTTCAAAACATATTTTAAATCGTGCAAACAAGGCATTCTTCAAAAACATTTTTTAGATCGATTGATCGTTGCATCCCAAAGGACGCAAGCTGTCAATTATTCTGCATCTTTGAGAATTTTTACGTGTTAGGGACACAGAACACAGTGGTAACAAAATCACTGTAGGGGGATACATGTAGCTCTTTCCTTCCAAAACTTCTTGTAGGCATTCTACAGCTTGAGATGTTTATAAACATTCCCTTCAAAAACATCATAATAATGGTGTAAAGACAAGAAATGGCTGTGAGTGAAGGGCATGGAGGATAGTTTTTTGAAAATCTGGAATGTCCTTGGTACCTTGGACCAAATGGTATTGCGTGTAATTCATTTTGATGTACATGACATGCACATGCAACAGAAATGGTGTCCACTTGCCCCAAGTAAGTGGTTTTGATCAGTGGACAAGTAGGTCATCAACCTTACCTGTCCTTTGGATAAGTAAATTCTCAGAAAATAAATTTAAATAAAAAGGTGCCTTTAACACATTTCAGCGAAACATAAAGTACACAGCCAGGTTTTTGTAAGTGTAAAACAGATCGCTTTTTGGGAAAGCAACTTACATGTTAGAAATGAAAAGAGAACAGCATTAATGCAGGCGACTTATGATCTATCCACCATTTTATTTCATTGCACTCTGAAAGGGGCATGGGACTTTTGGGGGTTTAGCTTTTGCATTAATTTTATAATAGACCCTCTTGGTAACTGCAGTTAGCTCGTACACAATGGTCGCTCAGCAAAGCATAAAATGCAGGCTATTTTGGTGCACCAGTGAGCAGCCAAAGGGGAAAGGAAATTAATCCTTCCCCAGAAAACATTGGGGTGATTGAGAAGAACCATGGTGACAGCTGAATGGTACGAGTTCGAAAGTTTCAGGAATATTGGAAAGAAACCTTCCCCTGGCGGGTAGTACATGATGCGAACAACAAAGCAGTACACTTTACATAAGCATACAATAAATTATTACTTGTATGAGTACTTTCTTGACACTTAAAATGCTGTATGTTTTATCTGAGTTCCAACAATAAACGGGATCATGCTTCTTATCCACTACCATGCATCATTAGAACTTGGATTTAACTTGACATACAAGGACAACTAGACCTGAGCTTTAATGAATACAACTAGAACCTCACTGGTCCATTGGACAAGTGAAGTTCAAATTTTTTCTCTAACCCTGACATGTGGGGGCGTGTTATTTTGAGAAGCTTGGGGATCGTTCTACTGTACTCAGAGTAATTAATTTTAGCATGCAACAACATTTCATGATGTGGAGGAACAACAAAGTTCCAGGGTTAAAATAATTTTGTGGCCAGCACCGGTCAAGTTGTCTGGTCAGACCTATTTTTTCTCGGACACAAACTGTTTTTGGCTGGAAAAATGTTTATTTGTTTCTGTCTCTGTCTCTCTTTTTCTAATTTTCCATTAGAAGCATAAATGACTAGACAAAGCCTACTTTTGACTGGACATTGTCTTTTGACCGGCTGTTATTTCAAGTCCTGAAGTTCCACCAATCATATCCCAAACATTTTTACAATACCTCTTTAACTCCTCAGTCCTACGTGTTCCTAGATGTACATGTATATCATGAATGTTTTAATCAGCTTTTAATACTGCTGGTCTTCACCAGGTGATGGTGCCAATTAGCTGTGTAGAGCTATTGCTGTAGTAATCTGCTTTATAGTCAGCTATGAAATGGATGGGCATCATAATACATATACACCTACATGTACTTTACTGTTACAGTTTGTACATACAAAATACAGCTGTGAGTTGTAGGCAGTTAAAAATTAATAATTACAGGAACTTCATGAAAATCTAATACTGTAAGCTTACATGTCAATAAGTCTGGTGGGAAACGTTTTTCCAGTGTGTTGCCTTTACATTCTGTAATTCTAGATGGAATAACTAATTCAAGAGTGTGTTTTCTGATGTATTGCAGACCTACCATTAGGAACAAGCATAGAGATGACACCCTCAAACACTACAGTGCTGCGTGGTTCTACCGTGTCACTTAACTGCAGCACAGATGCCAACCCAGCAGCCCATGTGTATCAGTTCTACTTCAATGACTCTTTCATCAGCAACAGTAGCTCAGGTCTGTTAAACATCACTGTTGATACAGATGGAGTGTACACCTGTGTTCCTATCAACAAAGTTGGCACAGGACACAATGCTAATATCAGCATCACCATGGTTGGTAAGTCACTCACATTTTTTAGCATGAGTGTTCTTGGTTTTGTTTCAATAAAATGCTGTTCACATATTTAAGTACAGGTAGTTTGGACTTCAGTTCTTAAGGTTGGTTTGAGAGATGTTGATTACTTAGCTAGGGTACTTAGCCCCACTTTGTGCTATTTTTCTACAAAGACAACCCCCAACTACTTTCCTGGGAAGCAAAAGGAGTGTAAAACCAAAGGAGTTTTGTAGTTGTTTCATTCCCCGCTTACTTAACCTGCTAACTTGTAATCTTAATGACAGCTTTGCAATAAGGTCTGTCCTCAGATACTTTACATTGCTATGGCTGTATTGAAACCCCTTCAACCTGATTTTTTATACTAAGTTGCACTAAAGCACTGTTGTGACATCACTTACTTCAATTCTAAAAGGGGCAGCCAGAAGCCATTCTCCAAGTTCATTGTTTTCTACTTGATATGTTGCCAGACATAGATATTAGTTGCCAGAAAAAAAAGCAAGACACTCTGCAAATTATTTGGGATAATTAAAGTGGGTACCAACTAATACACATTAGTTCTAGCTATAATTTTTATTGAATAGGGAGTGGGAAAGGGGCCTACTTTGTTCTGTTTAGGAGACATGCAGTATGGAGCAAATTTATAAAATGGATGGAACTGTTGGTTTACTTTGATTTATTTTTTAAAGTACCAACTTGCACATACACTGCAAACAAGGAGGAAAGTATTAGACTAACTACTAACAATGGAAGCCATTTGCAGATAAAATTCGGACAAGTCACATGGTCTTAAAACAGGGACATAAGATGAAATGACAACAAACACAAACAATATGGGACGAAATTGCAACTGCACAAAATCAATGGTAAAATACAGGCAGAAATGTGGGTTCTTCAATCCCTGAAATATAGGGCTTTGAAATTCATGTTGGAGACATACGACCCCCCACCCCTCCTCCAAAGGGCCTCATTATGACATGGTATTACTTGGTCTCAAACATTCCGTGTTTAGCACAAGTTACTTTATGGTCATCTTTAACAAGAAACCCTTGTACAGCTATAACTATTTTGAAGGTAACATTATTTCTTTGTTTCTTTGAAGATGCACCTTCGGTTGATGTTTATCCTACATCCTCTGTTGTCATGGAAGGAAAAAATGTCACACTCTCCTGCAATGCTTCTGGAAAACCTTATCCTCGACTTACTTGGACCAAAGTTGGTGGCTTGGGTCAAGTATTGTCACAAACTTCGACACTTATTGTGAATAATGTGAGCAGGACAGTTACTGCTAACAACATGATTCAGTATCAGTGTACAGCTGATAATGGAGTAGGACATCCTGCTACTGCTGTTGCAAATGTTACTGTCCACTGTAAGTACCTCATTGTCTCTGACAGAAAGGTATTACCATGACAATTCTTATTCTAGCAAAACATGGGTGTTGTGTCATTCTGAATCAACTCAACACTCACACAAATGTACTGATCCCTTGCAAGCATTGCAGCAACTCTTGGGCCGATGCTGATCGGATCTTTTTTTCCAAATTCATGACAAGCTGAATGCATAGTTTGCAGAAGGGATTGGTTATGAAATATGAAACCACGTTGCTGCAGTTGCTATTCAGAGCTCCCTGACTGTGTAAAAGTTTTTGGTTGTGGTTTGATAGGACATTTCTGTTGGCCAGTTAGGTCCAAACAACCTAACAAAAGACATATAGCAAAGCCATCTGATGGCCCTAACAATTATTGCAGTTTATTAACTGCTAAATAGTATGTAATCTTTTATTCTCTTTTTATTTCTTATTCTTTTGAAGCCCCTAGATGAGTTGCACACAGCATCTGCTTATTTGTTTTATAAAGGTTTTAACAAAGATTGCTTGTGATTTGGAATTCTGGATTTATGTCCCCTAGTTTATTGCTATATTAGTAGTACAGTAGAGAACGATTTTTTCCTGTATGGGGGCCGAGGGAATATCATTCTTTTCAGCAGGAATTTAGAAATGCTGATGTTGTCATTAATAGGGATCCTACTAAAACAGAATGATGTCACAGTCTTCTTTTATGTTGTGGTTAGTATAACCAGTTTAGCAGGTTGTAGTTTTTTAAGACGGATGATGTCATTATTGGTGTAGCCGGAAGTTTGAAAAGAAATGTTATTGCAACCCCTTTTATAGTACTTGGGTCATAGGGTTAGATGGTATATGAATTTAATTTTACTATTTTATTGTTTAAGAGAACTAAACCAAACTTATCCCCTACTTCAAACACAGTTGTGGTCCTCAGAGAGGTGCATTTAATCATTTTCATCTTGTTTAACAGTTCCTCCAGAGTTCGTCTCTACCCCTTCATCTCATCAACTTGTTGAGGGCGGTGGAGCTTTGCTGTACTGTAATGCTACCGGTAATCCAGAGCCAAATATAACTTGGACAAAAGGTGGAAATAACAATTTGTTGTCAACTTCAGAGATTCTAAATCTGAGCAGTGTGCCGAGAGGAGATAATGGAGCAGTGTACACATGTGAAGTGCAAAATTATCTCGGATTGGTGAAAGCTACTGCCGTAATTACTGTGTTTTGTGAGTATTTTAGTTATTAATCATTGTGGAATTTTTTAAGTTTTTCAGAATGTCCTTTTTGATAGAATTTAAGAAAAAAGACGGCAACCCAGAAAATTTTTCTGCTTTATCATTTATCAGGCCTTAACCAATACTTGTGGCTAAAAAGACATTCAGGCAGAATTCTTAACAAATACTTACTTTTTAGTTTAGCATGGAGTTTTTCTTTGTATCCTCCTTGGAAACAATAAGTTGTTCAGTTTAACAGACATTCTCATTGCTCTTCAGGAAGAAAGAGGAAATACATGTAGTCTGCATTAACCCTATTCAGACTAGGGGGGGGGGCGCTTTTCGACCCCCCCTCCAGCAAAATCATGATAACTCCTACACCGGAAGAGCTATCACGTTCAAATTTTCTGACTTTTCCTAAAATTTATCTAGGAACATTTTGGTATAATTACCATGTCCATGTGATTAATCATGTTGCCATGGCAACCAGTTTCTGACACATAGGTTTTGGAAAATTTATAAAATGGTGATTTTTTTGTTTCAAGATCGCGTTTTTACACTTATAGTGCTTTTTGTTGTTAAAATGGTCTTTGCTTGAGACTAGTTTTTGAATTACATCAAAATGTTTCAACATCGAATATTTGGGGGGGAGGGGTGGGGTAAAATTTGTCACTTTTTGCTTTGACAAATATGCTGCTCTATTTTCCAAATAACACTTCCAAAGTCATTTGTTTGGGTAATAAACATTAGTTTGATACTTCTTTTATACATTCTGAGCTTTTTCCCCTTTGAATGTTGCTTTAAATTATAATTTTAACCAAAAAAACGGAAATCCAAGATGGCGGACAACCATTTCAAATTTTTAATTTTATTGCTTCCTATCGCTTTTTCTCGCTGTACAAGTGTTTCCTTGTTACTAGTTCGTAAGAAAGGATAACAAAGAGATGACTTTACCAATATTATTGATATTTTACGTCTCTAAGTGGAAAAATAATAAGAAACGTTGAAAAATCGGAATATGACGTCACTGTGACGTCATCATTGGGCGTGGCAAGTCAAAACTGGGTGTGGGGCTTCTTTGTACGGAGATGATCATTGTGTGTAATTTCATGACCCTAGCATTATTGGTTCCAGAGATACAGAGGGGGGGTCCGAGGAGCCCCCCACCAGTCACAGATTGACCAAAAAAGCCCAGTCTGAATAGGGTTAAACATAATACAAAGACTGTGTATTACTTTCAGATGCACCAATGGTGGCAATCCAGCAGTGTTCCTCTCAGGTTACTGAGGGTGATAATGTGACAATTTACTGCAATGCTACTGGTAACCCATCTCCCAATATAACTTGGACCAGAGCAAACTCAAGTGCAGTTATCTCATTCAGTGAGATGTTTCACATGGAAGCTGTCAAGAGGAATGAATCAGGAAGTTACGTTTGTCATGCTTCCAATGATTTTGGTACCCACAACACATCCTGCAGTGTGGATGTGCAATGTAAGTTGTATTGAGGAGCTAAGGGACAAGGGCATGTCATTTTTTTCCAGAATTGCTTTGTCCAGTCAAGTTTCTTGTGAATGTTGCACGCAGGGCTAATGAATAAGGAGGCATAACAGAGATATTTAACAATTAATGAATGAGGCTGAGTATCTTATGAAGAATTATAGAGATCGAGGAGGGTGTTATCCGTCGAGGCCGTAGGCCAAGGTGGATAACACCCTCCAAGATCTCCGTAATTCTTCATAATTATGATACGAAAGCCAAATTCAATAATTGATTTATTGTTCCTTCAAAATAATTCCTAGTTTAAAAACATAGCTAAAACATGGTCACCTCCATCGATGTTAAGTTCATCTTCGATAGGGCACATTTAAAGTTGTTCAGCTGCTCAAGTATTCTCCAAATAGCAGATATCGCCCGTCGAGTTGCCTTCTTGCTGTTCTTGCCATGTTTTTAGCTATTATTTTGCCTAGTTCTTACTCTTGAAACGAGTGAAATGTCCGCCATATTGTTTTCACAAACGAAACAACTCAACCTCACCCCCAGGTCTTCCCGGTTAATGGTGCATTAACCTGCAGGAAAGCTGCACTTTTGACGTCATTGGTTCATTGAACGCAAAATTCTTCCAAATTTGGTCATCGGTAGCTGGTTATGGTGAATTATGCGTGTGCTTCTAGCCAATCAGGATCAGGGAAATATTTTGAATGAATAATAATTTGTTTTATTGATGAGGACATTTTGTGTGTGGGTGCATCTGTATCTTACACGGTTTAAGTGGTCTAGTCAAGAAAGAATTTTATTGTAGGAAAACGAAAGAAAATACAACAGTTTGCCTGGATAGTAAGAGACAAAAAGCAACCAAAAAAATGTGGGTATTCATAGTCTTCGGTACCACAGGAGAAACTTGTGAGATTTTTCCTGGGAGTTAGGAAAAAAAGCAAACAAAATTTATGGATTTGCCATTTTGTATAACATGAAAAGAACATGCTGTTTGGGCAAAGGTACTTAAATGTACTGTAAACCTCTTTTTGTTTAACTGCCTTTGATTTGAGCACACTGTTCCCATGTCTTGAAAGGTCCTTCAATTTATTTTAGGGGGGGTCCAGGGCTGTGCTCTAACACAAGGTTGTCATTAAGAGCTGAGGGCCAGGGATTCTTCCCGCCTGCTATGAGTGTGGCCCCCGGCTACTTTTGTTGGAAAATAGAAGAAAAATAGAACCAAAAGAAATCCCCAGCTGTCTGATTCCCCGCCTACTTGTTGTATTTACCCGGCAACTTGGTGCCTCACTTTTGCTCTTGGGGACTAGAAAATCTTAGATTTTTCATACAATTTATAATTATGCTGAGCACCCCGGATTTTAAAGATTCAGGGCAATTGGCTCCTTTCATTTTTCACTACAGCACAGCTTTGTAGTCCTTCAAAAGTCCTTGAATTCAATTTTCCTTGAAATGTCTTTAAAGTTTTGTGCAAGTCCTTGAATTTTCTTCAACTTTGAATTTAGTGGCCTGGAATGTTTCTGTTTTTTAATGCTTTTTCCTTGTCCAAAAGAGAATATAAATTATAAAAAATGTAGCTCAGACAAGTTATTGGTGATTTGCATTAAGCGTCTTTTGTTTTATGCAAGAATCAACTTTCAGTTTAAGACAAGGGAGCAGAACTTAAAAATGTAGGGAAGGTGGTGGATCAACCAATGGCCTGGGAATGTGCATTTTTGTACAGGCTATGGTAGGTGGTCCTTGAAAATCTTAAGTGGTCCTTGAAAAGTCCTTAACCCATTCACCCCTAGAGATTTTGCTGAAAAACGCATTTGAAGCTAGTCGAACGGTTTTCTGGTCACTGTAGTGCTATTAAGAGCTAAAACTTACCACAAAACCGTTTACTGGTCGTACTCTTTGCAGCCTTCTGATCCAGATGCAAAATATTAGTTTGTGAAGTTCAGGCATACGCAGAAGGCAAAATTTCGAGATAATTTTTGGGTTTAAAAGTGACACAGCAGTCTTGACTTGTACTTTTCGCTTTCTCTCCTCCCTTCTTTTTTCCCTTTCCTTGCCTCTTTTTTTTTTTTCTTTTGTTGGGGAGTCAGAAGGCTTCATTTTGGTGGGAATGGTTTTACTGTAGGAAAGCTCTTAGGATCTCAGGGTTGTCATTAAGAGCCGGGGGCCGGGGATTTTCCCCGGCTACTAAGAGAGTGGCCCCCGCCTACTTTTATTGGAAAATAGAACAAAAATAGAACCAAAAGAAATCCCTAGCAGTTCGATTCCCCGCCTACTTGTTGTATTTACCCAGCAACTTGAAATCTTAGTGACAACCCTGGGATCTTAAGATTAGATGAAGGGAAAGGTAGGTGGGTAGTAGTACAAGATTTTCATGGCAATTTTTGGGTCAATGTTACATGGTTTTTTGCCTTTTTCTCCAGTGACCTTGACTGAATTGTGCTGATTCCGGTATGGTTTGAAAGATCTCTTCACTCTGCATGCGTTAGCAGACAAAGTTTGTCCTTGACCGTTAAAACTGATGACATCACAAGTGGTAGAAGGGATGTGGATCCGCACGGGCGGCTCAGGGGTGAAGGGGTTAAAAGATGGTTGTAAGTTTTTGGATTAACCCTGAAGCATTCTGAATTTTTTTTCTGCCTTTGTTCTTTAGATCAACCCACTGATACAGCTCTTACAACTGCTCCAACCAACACTACAGCCTTGCGTGGTTCCCCTATGTCACTAAATTGTGTTACAGATGCCAACCCAGCAGCCCATGTGTATCAGTTCTATCTTAATGACTCTTTTATTAGCAACAGTAGCTCAGGCGTGCTCAACATCACTGTTGATACAGATGGAGTGTACACCTGTGTTCCTATCAACAAAGTTGGCACAGGACACAATGCTACTGTCAGCATCACCATGGTTGGTAAGTTCAGTGCATCGTCGATCGTTTTCACATGATTTTCGTAGTAACATACAAGTGTGTACCAAACTAATGAAGCTGTGACCATTTAAGTGATGGAGTTTGAATTCTGTTCCCAGGTAAAGATAATTTTGTTCCAACAAATGGGTATAGTTCAAGGCTCAAAATTGTGACTGATACTGTCACCAGTGCGACTAACATTTTCTCCTTGGTGACTAAAAATTCTTGTTTAGTCGCCACTTTGGTGACCAGATTTCTCTATGATTTAGATTTAAATTTAAAGTTAAAACAAATTTTTCATGTACCAAATTGCATAGCCAAGGCCAGTTTACCTCCAAATAATAATTATTATTTATATCAACTTGTGTCTGCAATTTTTTCAAATGGTAAACTCTGATGGATGGCACCATACTATGAGCTGTGTCATTTGGTGACTAAAAATTTGCATCTGGCGACTATTTTTCTACAGTTGGTCGCCACCTGAGGATTTTTTAAATTTCGAGCCCTGACTTAGTTGCTGACCATGTGAGTCAAAAACGTTATATACTTAGTTCTCACCATACTGCATGTAACACAAATACTGAAGCTGTCATCAATTATTTTTTAACACTGTTTCTCTTTCTTCAGTTGCTCCATCAGTAGAAATCTCCAATACAATGCTGATTGCAGTTGAGGGAAGCAACGTGACATTATCCTGCAATGCTTTTGGAAAACCTCCTCCAATAATAACATGGACAAGAATAGGTGACTCTAAAGTCTTTCCTCAAGGTTCATCAATCACTATTGTGAATGTCACCAGACCTGGAACCCCTGATAACATGATCCAGTATCAGTGTACAGCTAGTAATGGAGTGAGGAGTCCTGCTAAAGCTGTGGCGAATATTACTGTCCAGTGTAAGTACGATGTTCATCCATCGTACTGTAAATCCTCTAATAACATGATGGGTGTATATATAAACAACCAAAGCCCTAATTTGCACAAGAAAGCAAAACCCTGAAGGATTCTGGCAGTAGTAGGACAATAATGATGCCATGTTGCAAATGAAATATTTTTTTAGCTTTTGACTTCACTTTTATCAATCACCTTTATTTTGGGTTCAGTTTTTGAACATCACGTTCAAATGTGAAATAATTCTGTCCAATGGCTGTCAACTTTCTTTTAACTGCAAGCTTTTTTGACAGCTATGGTATCTGCCTCTGACTGCTCTCATATTAAAGTTTTATCCAATTTCTTTTCTCATCCTCCCTCTTCAGCGGCCATACTATCCTATGTTTTTTTATACTTTACAAACAAACAATATTGCAGAAATTTACAATTCATTACAATCAAGTCTAATTATTGGTTACTAAAAGTTATATTACATTAAAACAGATGACTAATTTTACAGAGAAATGAAGAAAAAGACGAAAAGAAAGACAAAGTCCAAAAAATGACTACAAAAGCAAATACAAGAAGGTTGTCTGCCTTTTAGTCTTCCCTCCCTCCCATCTGCCCTGCTACAGTGTATCCTGTCGTTGCTACCCAGCTATGGGTAGCTTTTGTTGTAGGCACCAAGTACATGAAGGTCAAAAATGTTAACACCTCTTGTATTCATGGAAATTCGTGTTTTTTATTTTCCCTCCATAAATGCCCTCTTAGTTTTGTCCGTATGTGCACCCATACAGCTGCACCTCACTCAACAGTCTCCTATGGGTGTGGTCCAAGAGCGAATTTCAATGTTACCACAAAACGAAATACACCTTTAATTGGGTATGAGTAAGGAGGTAATGGAACTCAAAAAACCGAACACAAAATTTTGTGCTTTTGACCTTTGCATAGCAAGGAAAGAAAATGCAAGTAACTCCTAATGTAAATTGTTTAAATTTTTCTTTTATTAAAAAAAACGTTGTCTTTTAGTTGAACCTCAAAGGGTTAAGGTCTCCTGACCTTTTGGTTTTCTTTAACAGGCATATTTGTTGCCTTTGTTCTTTAGATCCGCCAACTAGTACAGGTTTAACAACTTCTCTGGTTAACACCACAGTGCTATTGGGCTCTACTGTGTCTCTTAATTGCAGTACAGATGCCAATCCTGCTGCTTACATGTATCAGTTTTACTTTAATGATGCCATTATTGGCAACCGTAGCTCGGGTCTGTTAAACATCACTGTTGATGCCGATGGAGTGTACACCTGTGTTCCTATCAACACAGTTGGCACAGGACACAATGCTACTGTCAGCATCACCATGGTTGGTAAGTCACTCATATTTTTAGTGGAGTGAGCGTTTTCACGGTTTGTTCTTAATTTTATGACTTTTTATGTCATGCACTACATACAATAGCACAAATACCAAATCCACGCTTTTTGTTCTGAATGAACTGCTGAATGTTTTCCATGTGCAAACCCTTCACAGCTTTAGAAATGACTGGGTGAAAAAATTCAACTCTAAAGTCCTTGCCCAATATCTTTTCTAACATTGTGTGCTTTGTTCTGTTTTCTTCAGTTGCACCATTAGTAAAAATCTCTGACACCATTCTGACTATAGTGGAAGGAAGCAATGTGACATTATCCTGCAATGCTTCTGGAAAACCTTCTCCAATAATAACATGGGCACGGGTGGGTGACTCTAAACTCTTTCCTCAAGGGTCATCCATCACTGTTTTGAACGTTAGCAGACCTGGTACCCGAGATAATATTATCCGGTATCAGTGCACAGCCAGTAATGGAGTTGAGAGTCCTGTTGAAGCTGTTGCAAAGGTTACTGTTCACTGTAAGTATAATAAAAAAAAGCATGTTTGCAAACATGAAATTTGTATTTTGTAAGAATGTCGCTAACGCCAGTGATACCCAATTCCAGGTTTTGTTCAGCAGCGAAAGTTGCAGTTCTGTATCTGTTCTCATTCAGCCAAGTTCCACATAATGAATAGCCTATTTACGTGGTTTGCACAATCTTGAAAACATCTTGAATTTTAGTAGCCATCTTAAGAAATCCTTGAAGTCGGTTGAGGTCCTCGAAAACTAATCGATTTCTTAATTAAGTTGTAAAAAGTCCTTGAAATTCACTACCTTGTTTACGCCACACCATTTTCTGGGAAATTAGAATATGTTGTGGAGAACAATTTGGCCCCTCCTCAGTGGAAGAACATGTAGACCTCACAGGTAATGTAAAAACATTTTTGCGGATGAACAACATTTTATTGTTTCTTTATTTCAAATCCTTTCTCTTTTCTTCAGATGCAACTGCAAGTCAGTGACTGTTGTTATTTTGCAAAGTGTTGTTACAGAAAGTACTATAAAATAATTTGATCAACCACGGCTGATGAGAAGTAGAAATCGTAACTTACTCCATTAAGTGTTTTTACCAATAAGGTGTTCAAAGGGGAATATAGAAAGCCGAATGATTGAATAAATCTTAGTCCTTGGAAACTGCAACTTGTCCGTAAAAAGTCCCTGAAAAGCCCTTGAAGTTTGTTTGTCTGAAGTTGTACAAACCATCTATTTCACCATTCAACATTTCTAATTCGGCAAGATACACAGTCCAGGCATTTTGAAATCTGGCCTGTTACAAATTGCAACAGAAGCTTTCTCATCATTAAACAGTTAGTTTAAACCTGTTAACAAACATGCTAACAGTCTTAAATATCCAAGCATGGGAACACCTACCAATACAGGCCGCTGTTATGTCCTTCTTTCCTATAGCATGAAAATGAGGGTCTAAACCGTAAGTTGTTATAATTGAGTTATTTTACTGCTAGAAATGAAGCCATTATTCTCATGCCCAAGAGTATACTATCAACGAAGTGATTTAGAGATGAAAAAGTCTTTTAAAAAGTTCCCAATAAATAGCTCTCTGAAAATACAATGTTTTGTAAAGATAACATTAGTTAAGCAGTAGTCAGGAACCTCATTCGATTGTGTTTGGTTATTGTTCTTGTAAGCAGGATACAAGAGAGCGGTACTGGGGACAACAATTTTGTCAAATGGAAAGGGACATTTTGGTCCGACTGACTGACCAAAATAACCAGACCAGTTAAAGTGGACAACCTTTAAAGCTGGTCCCGAATATTCCAGTCAGAGCAAACTGAAATGGTCTGTTCCATTTGATGTACCAACTGAAACTTCCGGAATTTTGGGTTGAATGGAAAGTGCCCGTACTTGATTTTCCCTGACATTGCATGCGATATCTTGAATCATGTCTATCATGATCCCATCCCTACCACTGCTTGAGTTGTGTATACACTAGTCTTCATTTAAGCTCTTCATTTCGAGCGAAGAGCAAGTGTGCCATGAGAGAATGTGCGAGCGAGAGGTACTGCAGAAAGGAATGCAAGCAACGCTCAGTGAGAGATTACATACTGTTGACTGTGTGGGTGTTTTCAAAGGTTCGATTTTGAGGCCTCAACCGTCAAAGCAGAAGGAACTGTAAAGTAGTAGTCGCAAGTAGACTATCTCGATGATGCCAGAATCTAAGCGAGTTTTTTGTGCTTGTAGAAGGAAAGTAAGAATAAGTTACTGATGGGAAGAGTTTCCCTATAGTGAAAACACAATTCAGACTCTTCAATGCAAAGCTTTCATTGACTTCTTTTGTACCCTTGAGCCACCTTTTCTGCCACATTTCTAACTTCTTTAAAGTGGTTTGTTGTGAAAGCTCTTTTGGTGACATTCCATACTGTTTTGCAGATCAGCCTAAGATCCTCTCTGCTCCATCACCTCAACAAGTTGTGGAGGGCAATGGAGCTATCCTGTTCTGTAACGCAACTGGCTATCCAGAACCAAATATCACTTGGACAAAGCAAGGAAATGAAATCGTGCTGTCTACGTTAGAGGTTCTTAACTTGACCAGTCTTATGAGAGAAGACAATGGAGCAGTGTACACATGTATCGTGCAGAATTATCTCGGAACTGTGAAAGCTTCTGCTATGGTTACAGTATTTTGTGAGTATTCCGATTTTGTCTTTGTATGAAGCAGTATGAGTTCTTTTTTTTTTTTTAAAAAAATAGAAAACTGACTGGTAGTGGCCAGGGTTGTTTGGCTGCTCATTTTTGTATTGTTAGGCATAAGAAACAGGAGGCTGCCTTTTGATGTGAGCGATTCATGCATCGTTTTAATGGCAACCTAAATGAACACAATCAGATGTTTTAAATGACAGCTTTCGTGTTTCTTGAAAGCGTGGAAGAAAAGAAACACATATTTGTCAAGTCGAGCCGTTTTCTGGCCACTGTCTGATTACGAAGAGGAATGGAAATTGTTTATAATTCTATCAGAAGGCTGCGTTCTGTTACTAAGATCAGCTATTTGTATGTACAGAAGGCAAAATTTTGACCTGTTGCATGTCACTCCATTCGTCGTCTGCCTTTCTTCCTCTTTTTGATGGACATTGACTTAAATTCATTTCGGTGGGAAAAGGGTTTGGGAAAACTAAAGATAGGTAGTGAAGCAAGATTTTCATCAGTCAGGAGTTTTCAGGTCATTTTTGCATCTTTTTTTTTTGGATAGTTCAATAACTACACAACAGTTCAATAACCACACCACTAGTTTAATGACCATGCATTAGTTCATTGAGCATAAACTACAAGTAGCTGTGAAAAAATAGCCACAAACACATTAGGTTTTTATTAATATGAATTTGTTGTATTAATTAAGTGGTAAATACTCATTACAACATAGCGCGCGTGCTTGCCCTATATAAGTCCTATTGAGCCGCTATGAACAAAATCTTTATTTACGCACGCCCGTGCGTAAATAAGATGACGTGAGCATTTTTTTTTTTTGCCTGGCTGCAAAGTTGTCGTCTTTTAAGCTGCAGTGCACTTTTCGTTCTCTTTAAAATGTGGAAGAAACCAGCGAAGAACTGCCCAATTTTTCTATCGGCATTGACCTTTTAGGTCCCGATCCAACAAGCAGCAAAAATAAAGCCGAATTTAAAAAAAACTTGCAAGTTGAGCGTTTCGTAAATTTGTCGAAGAGGAGCTGCAGCAAATTTTGGCTGAAAGACATTCACTGGGAACAGAACAGACACCAACTGCTCATCAACAACATTTAAAGGCAAAATTTCCGTTTTTATTGTTGTTTTTAAATTTGTTATGCACTTTGTTATCTCCGTACAATCCGACTTAACCAGGAAGATTTATCTCGCAATAACAACACAAATTACACAAGAAGACATAAATTATTACTCACAAAAACAACTGCTGCCAGGTCTTCTCAAGAAGCCGTAATGACCAGCCAATGTTCGTAAATGAATGTAAGTTTAAAGAAGGATGACAGTCGTCTTCGCTAAAAAACATGTTTTCTGGATTTCGCCGAGCAAAACGTAAACATCTTTTCAGCAAATCCAAACCATACTCCACGACTTCTTACGAACATGTTAGTATTTTAACTTTAGGTGAACTTTAAGACTCTTTTACCTTTGTTTCTGCTTAGTTTCCATAGATCGTTAACGAATAAAGAAGCAAATTTTCTTTCTCACTTTTACAGAAAGAATATTTTCATTCAAACTAGACGATTGTGGCGTGTTCGTAATCAGCCAGTAGAATCGTTTGTTATTGTGTCGCGCGTTACGAGAATTTTGCAGTTAATCAAAAAGCAAGGATTTTTGTCAGCTATGTTATAAAAGAATTTGCTCATGCTTTTAGCTGTGCGTATATCGAGTTATGGATGCACTTGGCAAGTTTGGAGAGCACTCAAGAAGCTAGAGTTGCACTCGGCTATCGCCTCGTGCAACTCTTACGCATCTTTCGTGCTCTCCAAACGTCCCGCGTGCATCCATAACTCGATATACGCACGCTAAGCATGAACAAATTCTTAATTTAGCAATGATACAAGAACTTAATTGGGAAGTAGCTATGGTACATTGTTATTAAGTTCTAGTGAGGGCGGTAATGTAAACAGGAACATAGAGTGATTGTAATTTAAAAGTTATAGTCTGCTCAGAAGGTCTGTCATTCTCATCAAGGGCACAGTAAACATACCTGGAAAGAGAGTCAGCGCCAAAAAGGGAAAGCCAGCTCAGTCCAGAGGAATTTTCACACTAAATAACCAGACAAAGCACGCGTTGAGAAAGAAGAAAACATAACGGTGAACAGAGGTGGAAACCTTGTTTTTAGACTCTCTTTCTGCACGTTTCAAACTGTGGCACCACCCTGATGTACTGAATCATGCTCATTCAGGAATATTTTAAAAGAACTCTCCCCCATAAAGTTAGGTGTCAAAGTTGTCTATGATCATTGAAAGTGATGACCTCACAGACAGTACAAGGAGGTTCATATGTGAGTAGGTTACTCATTATACAGGTAGGTTATTGTATGATTTTCGTGTTCTATGCACCAAACCTATCGGTCCCACCGTACGAAAGGTCCCTTGGTCAAAATCATTCTTAACCATAGTTGTGCTTATCTATTCATGTGTAAGAGTAAAGGTTACAAATGTTATTAAAGGCTACATTATATTTATGGGCAATGTGAAAGGCTTTGACCTCTGCTTTCAATTCAAATTAGTGATTAAATCTGTCTGGTAAACATGCACATAGACAATGTTTGTCAACCAAAATGACTTCATATTCCTTACAGATGCACCAACAGTTGCAATCCAGCAGTGCACCTCTCCAATTACTGAGAGTAACAATGTTACACTTTACTGTAATGCTTCCGGAAACCCAATGCCCAATATTACATGGACTGGACCATACACAAGTGCAGTTCTATCATACAGCAACATACTACTCATGGAAGCTATAAAAAGGAATGCATCAGGAAGTTATGTTTGTCGTGCATCTAGTAGTTTTGGGATGGACAACACTTCCTGCAATATTGACGTTCAGTGTAAGTTTTCTTTGGATAGTTAGTAGAGTAGGTTTTTAAATGCGAAACTTTTTGCATGCGAACTTCAATTTGTTGCAAGAAAGAAAGAAACAGAGCTTGGTTTCTCTTCTGTTGTGGGAAATCCTACAAACCCTTGGCCTTACAAGTCTCTCAAGAGTAGGTAGTTACCGTGCATCTCATAACCGGGCCTAGGAATCTTTTACAACTTATTCTGTTGTCTTTGTCCATTAGATCAACCAACTGGTACAGCTCTTACAACTACTCCAACCAACACCACAGTATTGCGTGGTTCCACAGTATTATTAAACTGCAGTACAGATGCCAACCCTGCAGCCCATATGTATCAATTGTACATCGACGACACCATTATTGGTAATAGCAGCGATGGTCTGTTCAACATCACTGTTAATGCAGATGGAGCTTATACCTGTGTTCCTATCAACAAAGTTGACACAGGATCAAATGTCACTGTTAACTTCACCGTGGTTGGTAAGAAAACAATGGACAATGTGAATTTTTCAGTTTTAAACTTAAATCTGTTACCCTTATTTAGTTCTTAACAGTATCAACTCAACGATTCTTTTGTTAGTTGCACCAACAATAGAAATCTCTAACACAGTGCTAATTGCTGTGGAAGGAGGAAATTTGTCATTATCCTGCAATGCTTCAGGCAAGCCTGCTCCAGTAATAACATGGATACAAGTGGGTGACTCTGAAGTCCTTGCCCAAGGTTCATCCATCAGTGCTGTGAATATCACCAGACCAGGGACCCCTGATAGTATGATCCAGTATCAGTGTACAGCCAGTAATGGGGTGGAGAATCCTGCTAAAGCTGTGGCGAATGTTACTGTCCACTGTAAGTACAGCATCAAGCCTACTTAAATTTTCCACGTATTCTCTTTAAGAATCGAAGTTTGGTGGTTACAATTAACGTGGCAAAGCCACAAACACAAACATTACCTAATTTGATAAACATGCGTATGTGCAATATTTAAAGTTTTATTTAATCTGCTTTTGCCAACTTTGCATCCGGAGCTGTGAATAAAGACGAATTTGCTTGATGGTTATACCCACAACAGAGCATTTTCGCCCGATTATCACAAGAAGCATCTTACTTCAAGCTCGTTGAAGTTCAAATATTTCATGACATGTAACGTATGATATCAAATGATGTCATTATTTTTTTGGGTGAAGTACCTTTACCTATGGATGCAGCCAAGGGGTATTTTATTTTGAGGAAAGTAGTACTTTGTCATCCCTCCATTAACAGCAAGTTTAAATATGTCCTGTAGTTTTCCAGGTGCCAGGAGTTATCTAAACACCACCTCAACCCACATCTTCTTTTTCCTTATCAACCTCTTGTTTTTAATTTTCTGTCCAGCCTTTTAAGCGGTATGTTCGTAAAATGCTCCTTTCTAATGCTGTTGTTGTAGAGAGAGGATTCGATCATATGAGCTTTTCTTATAAGCCTCAAAACATAGCAGACAAAAGAAGACATCTCTTAAAGGATCGTTTTTAAGGATTTTTATTTACTGTTACGACTTGCCATGTTGACTTGTCAGCCATGTAGCGTACAATACTAAAGGTGGAGATTATAGCCACTGCGAACGTCTGATGTATGATGGCGGTTCTGGACATCTTGCTGTGAAAGATATCTACCTGGACATTCTTTAAAACGTTTTCACGGAATTGCTTGCGCATACAATGACAACAGACTTTCTTAAAATGCTAAATGCATGATAAAAGTGTTCGTCGTGCTTGCACCACCTAGCAACACCAGATTAGTTGCCTTTTAATTCCGAAAAAAGAAGAACACAGATGACAGGACATTCCAGGTATGTGAAGGGAAACTTTCCCTCTCTCTCTTTCGCTCTCTATTTTAACTTTGCGGATTGAAAACATTCCCAAACTTATTTTTAAAGCATGAACTTGGACATATTGGAAGACATGTGCCAAAGTTATCTTGGCTTTAGTCTTTTTGTAGTCGCTTCTTCTTTGGATATATCAGTGTCATAAGACAGTGCATCTGAAGTGTTTTTTCACCTTTCAAGTTAGAAAAGGTAGCTTTTATTGGAACCATGTCATCTTAAGCATGTTGCCATTCAGTGCAGAATTTCTCTTTTTCGCTTCCTTGATTGTTATTGTAATGTTTTGTTATTTTTTGAAAATCTTGTTGAAACTCTTAGGCAGTTCTTAGGAAACCATAGATGAATTGTTTGGATAGAGTTAACAGTTTTAATGCCATGGAAAACTGTTGAAGAAATGAATTTCTATTAGATCTTCAAGTTTTAATGGAAATTAATATCTCCATGTGCGGGAAGGTGAAAAGCATTACAGTTTCTTCCTCATTTGAATAGATCCACCGGAGATTGTCTCCACTCCATCACCGCAGCAAGACCTTTATGAAGGCAAGGGAACTGTTCTTTTCTGTAATGTCACTGGTAATCCACAACCAAACATTAGTTGGACCAAACAAGGAAATGATAGTGTACTGTCGACCTTACAGACGTTAAACCTGACTGTTCTGAAGAGAGTCGACAATGGAGCAGTTTACAAATGTAAAGTGCAGAATTATCTCGGACTTATGGAAACTACTGTCATGATTTCAGTGCTATGTAAGTAATGACTGCATACTATCTCTGAGCACGCACTGTGATTAATCAGGACCTTTCTTCGATCAAGATATGCCTTCTATGCTCAGGGGAAAGTAAGGAAATCTGTTAAAAAGTCACAAACATTTTCATGTTGACCATGTGAGTGAAAAGTCAGATGATCGCCAGATGAGTGGCAACCCTGATAAAGGGGTGCCTTTTCTCCACTGAGATTGATGCAATCTTTTTACTTGGTTGCGGCAGGTTGGGTAGTGGTCAGGGTAATAATTTCCTCATTGGCAGGGAAAAGTGAGGGAATTTTACTTTGAGTGAGGGAAGGTTAAAAAACATCTTTGAAAGAAGTCAGGAAAAAGTGAAATTTAGAGATAACTAAAATATTTATTGCCATCTCAGTGAGTGGAATAAAAAATGGCATATTGTTTAATGACATTGAACAATACACTGATGTTGCACTTTCAAGAAATCAATCCTTCTCACAGAAGGATAAATAAATGGTCGTAGAGAACGGCTGTAAGAGGCTATTCTCGGGACTAATTATTTATGCAGTTGGTCAGGGAAAATTTTACATTTATCACAGAAAAGTCAGTAAATTTAAAAAGACCTATGGCCTTGGCAACCATGTTTAAAGTGCTCTTTTTGATCAAGTCTAAGTTGACTCTGCTTTTTCCATATATTAAAAATTGTTAGATATTTCATACAGTACTTACACATTGAGAAACTCCCTGGCAGAACTTATATCCCCAACTATTCTTTTTATGTTTGCTTTCTAGATGCACCTACTGCAACCATCCAGCAGTGTTCTACTCCAGTCACTGAGGGTAATAATGCAACTCTTTATTGTAATGCTACTGGTAACCCGGCTCCAAATATTATGTGGATTAGAAAAAGTACAAGGCAAGTTGTGTCAGCAAACAAGGTACTTGTCATTGAAGCCATCAAAAGCAATGGATCTGGCAGTTATGAATGTCTTGCTTGGAATGGCATTGGGAACAACAGCACCAACTCCTGTACAGTTGACGTATACTGTAAGTAAAAAATAAGTCAATGGTTGAATCACAGTTTGAGGAGAGAACCACCCCTGGCTAAACAGTGGGAGTTTTGGATCGCCTCTGGTTGCTAACTGGATTTGTTCCTTTCTAGTTTCTAGTTTAATCCTCAATTGCACTTGTGAATAGTCAAGTGGTTTGTCCCCTGCTGGTGGTTCTTACCCTCGTTATTACGTTTTCATTAATTTTTTTGCTTGGCTTGTTTGCTCAGCCCTGCTATCTTTTGTGCTATAACTGCTATGAGTGTAAATAGGGTCATTATTATAGTGGTTGTTTTATGCGTGGGATACTTTGGTAAAGTATTGGCTGTTCGGTATTTCTTAGATACACCAACTGGTACAGCTCTCACAGCTGATCCTACCAACACTACAGTGCTGCGTGGTTCTACTGTGTCACTTAACTGCAGTGCGGATGCCAATCCATTGGCTTACTTGTATCAGTTCTACTTAAATGACACCATTATTGGTAACAGCAGCTCAGGTGTGTTCAATATCACTGTTGATGCAGATGGAGTGTATACCTGTGTTCCTGTCAACCAAGTTGGCACCGGGCAGAGTGCTATGGTCAGAGTAACTGCTGTTGGTGAGTTTAAAATGCAGGATTCTTATTAATTCTACACTTTAGTTAACCCATCCAAGGACAATATTGTGATCAAACGTGTGAATGAGGAAGAGATCTTTCAAACCAGACCAGAATGAGCACGATTCATTCAAGGAGGCCAGATAAAAAGGCAAAAACCCATTTAATGTTGATCCTAAAATTCCCACTACCAACCTACCCTTGCATCTAATCTTAAGATCAAAAAAGCTCTCCTAAAAAGTTTTTCCACCTCGCAATTTTGCTTTCTATGCATGCCCGAACTTCAGAAGCTGATGCTTCGCTTTTGGAACAGACTGCTGCAAGATGCTCGACTGTTGTTTTGGGCAGTTTCTGCTCATTATAGCAGGACAGTGACCAGAAATCCACTCGATTAGCTCCAACAGTGCGATTTTCAGCAAAATTTCCATGAGCAAATGGGTTAAGCAAAGTATTGTTTCATTTTTTTGGAATTATGCCAATTTAGGGCTAGGAGGCAAAACAAATTAAGAATCAACCTAGATTTAAAAAATTGGACCTTTATTTTATATTATTTTATTTTGACCTGTAACATATACGTTTAGAGTATAGTTTTTAATAGTATGCATGTTAAAGTAATGAATTCCCTCCCTTGATGACCCAGTTCGTTATTTTCTTTTGCAACAACCATTTTTAGCACTAATGTTTGTGGTCAATGAAACTCATTTTCAGTTGGCCCAGCTGTAAGGGTATTTCCTCAGACTGTTACAGTAGTGGAAGGTGACCATATTTTTTTAACTTGCAATACGAGTGGCATTCCTTCCCCACTGATACGCTGGGTACGCATTGGTCAGTCTGGCGTCGTTTCACAGAATTCGTCACTGACTGTTGTAAATGTAAGCAGACCTGGTACCCCTGATAGCATGGTCCAGTATCAGTGTACAGCAAGTAATGGAGTGGGGAGTCCAGCTGTAGATGTGGCAAATGTTACTATCCATTGTAAGTAAAATTTATAATTTTCAACCATCAAAAATATTCTGTAACAAACTTCTGTAAAAAGGACACCTGTGTGTTGTGGACCTCTTGACATGCTTTACCGACGTGTGTGGCTGTCTAGCTTAAAACTGCGGATTCTGTTGCCTTAACCTAAAACTCGATGTTATGTGAGATTTTGTGGCAAAGACATCTATCATCATGTGGGCTGATTGCCAAGGAAAACTTGAAAGAGGTAAAGAAAAGAAATTTATCTGAGTTTGAAGCTACAGTGTAAGTGGCATTATGTCAAAGGTGTGATGTTATCATAGTACATCTAGCCTCCCAAAACAGTTCCTTGGATGTCTCAGGATACGAGGCCCTCCTTATCTAAATGTATAGTGCTTCCGTTGCTTCTTTAGCAAGTAGCAAGTGATTGCTGAATATATTTTCGGCTTTTAAAAAGCCAGTAAGCAGAGAGTAGAGCTAAGATGCTTAAGTGTACATTAAATCTTAGTTGTCTAGGTCATTGATTAGATGTTTTGTTTTGTGAAGATGCCCCAGAGATTGTGGTTGCTCCTTTAAATACAACAACTATTGAAGGCAGAAGTGCTATTTTATTCTGTAACGCAACTGGAAGTCCCAAGCCAAATGTTACATGGTCAAAAGGAGGCAGTAACACAATTTTGTCTTCATCTGAGGAATTGATACTGGGCAACCTAACAAGATCACATTGTGGGACCAAGTACAAATGCATCATCACAAATTATCTGGGATCTGTTGAGGCGTCAGCCATAGTCACAGTATATTGTAAGTATAAGTATACATATTCAAAGGAAATCATGCTATCATCGTCATCATCATACTTTGTTTTCCTTAAAGCTGGTAAATTCTTTCCTCTAAGATCCTGCTGTGGTTGCATACAGTCCATTGAATCAGACAGTCTTGGAAGGAACCAACGTGACTCTCCACTGTAATGCATCTGGCAAACCAACACCGAACATAACTTGGACAAAAGATGGCAGTCAAGCAGTGTTATTTCTAGGAGACATTTATGGTTTTGTTAACGTGCAGAGACAGAATGCTGGAGATTACACATGTACAGCTTGGAATGGAGTCGGCAGACAAAGCAACGCTACAGCTACAGTAAACGTACAGTGTGAGTCTCGTTATTCGTTCTTACTTAAATCAGTTCTCTTTTGTTATTTTTGTGCTATGTCTCATTCGAAGACTCCCAATAGGGTTGTTTAATCCCATGACCTGACCAAAGGAGGTTAAATCACATATCCCACAATGCAATGCTTTCAACTATATTATCAAGTTGGCGAGAACACATGATCCCTTCATTTCGAATGAACACGAAAGAGAAGAGAGTGCCAATGACCGCCTATAATCAACGATGTTATACTTATATTCCTTGGACACCGAGTACATTTTTGAGGTCAAATTATCTGATTGGCCTTTCCTTCAGCCGAAATGTCCGTTTGGACTCGTTATTTAGTTTGCCCGGAACTCCTTCGGAGCGGCAAAATGTTGTTTTCCTCAGGGTTGTTCTTCCATCGAGCATGTGCTTGAATCAGGCAAGATGTGCAGCTTAGAATCCCCAGGTAAGAGGCAGTCAAAAGTTATAACAGATACCTTGTTTGTCTAGAAAAATATAGTAAATATTAATCGTGTTGTTTTACGGACTGTTGTGATTGCGATTGCAGACTTCACCAAGAAGATGCTGAAGACGACGAGGACATTGCAGTGATCTTGTCCTTGTTAAGGAGCTTCGTGCTCTTTTAAGACGAATTTGTGTTGTGAAATGATTTCTCATTGACTTTTAAAAGTAACTTACCCTTGATTATTCTTTTAACTTTACTGAGGACCGCTTTTACACACTTCACCTCGTATTCATTGTTTTGAATTCTTACCATGTGGTTGCATTGTTTACTTGTATTGGTCTCAATGACAGCCATTCTAAATTAAAAATTCTTGTTATTAAAACAATAGAAAACGTTTTCCGTGTTTGCATAGCCTGATATAAACACGAGAGGGGTTGGGAGAATTCGAGACAGTTATGCAGACCCGAGACGAAGTCGAGGGCTTGCATAACTGTCGAGAATTCTCCCAACGCCTCGAGTGTTTATACTTTATATCAGGGTATGCAAACTCAGGAAAAAAGTTTTCTATTGCTTTTATAAAATAACTTTCCCGAGGAAAAACGTAAAACTCTTTGTATGGCTCTGATTAAAAGAGAAATTTTTAGTACCAGTCTTGTCCACGAAGTCTTGCATTTGTAATCAGTTCTTGTGCAAAAAGATGCTTTCCAAACTACGGATTTTTCTCACTTAAAATGTCAGCTTAAGCGAAGAAAAATTGACACACCTTCTTTGTAATGATTTTCCAAGTTTCAGCCGACGAAGGAATGGGTAAATAAAGTAAACTCGAAAACTTTTTCAAATTCGTGCTTGCGTGATTAGCGCGCGAAAAGCAAAACATCTTGACGCCATAACCATGTTTACATACTCTCATTCAAACACTCCTCTCCGCCAATCAGAGCGCGCGTACTATCTTAGTTATTTTATAAAATGTAGTGGTATCTACACCATCAAGTTGTTATTAATTGTATGGATATCTCTTCTTTTATAACCAGTTTGTTATAAACCTCTTTTGAAGGAGTGATCAGCCTGCAATGTTTGCATCAATAAAAAGTTTTTTTTTGAAGTGCAATGAGAGCAGTTGTTATTTATCATTGACCATTCAAAGAAAAACCTGGACTTGCTGAGTATCATAACATCAGCAAACCCATATGCACTCATCCTGTGGGTCTGTAACCCAATGATGAATTGCAAAATATATATTTTTTGAATTTCTATACCATTGCTGAAACAAAGTGGGCAATAAGTTTTAACTCTTTTCACGGTTATCTTAACTGGGATAGGGCACTCCACAATCAATCAAGACCAAAAATGATCATATGCACGAGAAAAATTTATTTGTAAAGATAAAACAATATTTTATTTGGGATTATTTCTTAATCGTACAGACAAGTTCAGAATAACTCGAAACTGTGTTTTGTTGTTACTTTGAGCATTTGGCTTTAGTGTGAAAAAAAAAACTTTAGTTCCAAACTCAGGGAATATTAGCAAAATGGAGTTTCCAGCCAGTATTTATTTAGGGAGGAGAAATCTCTGTTCAGGATAGTTTTATGAACATATTTATCAGCATCTGTATTATCATGTTCGTCGTAGAACCTCAATAATATTAAAGTTAAAACCAGTTTAGTCTAAAGGTAGGGGGGAGGCTGGATACGCCACCACTTTAGCTTCTGTGAAGGCAAAGCTCTCCAATATGCAATTGATTGGTTATTTTTCAGTTATGAGAAGACAACATTGTTGAATTGCATTACAATGATTACCATCTACATTAGATGGTGTTGCATACAAAGGAAAAAAAATAGATATAGCAGACTAAAATAAAATGGAATAAAAAAGCAGCTGAGATTTCCCTGGAAGCAGAGGTTTGTTTCTGGCTTAGCTTTTAGCATTTATGAAGTTATTTGCATTGTTTGTCTGTTGGGTAGTTGTAAACAAACCAACTACGCAAGTGACAAGTGACACAAGTGACTGTAAATGCCAAAGGGCATGCCAGAAAGCAACTCTGCTCACAGGGTAGCTAAGATATCATAGACAGTGTTTTATGGTGTCGAGGTTTCTTCTTTGAAATGCGACATGGATAACCTAAAATGACTCAGTTTTCCAGTGAGTAATGCAGAGAGACTAGGCCATTTGCCCTAAGAGGTCATGTGACATCGTTTTTATAAAAATGAAAGTTGTATGATTTTGCCCTCTAAAAACGATTAGTGGGTCATATCTTAAACAAAATGATATTGATTTGGTTTTTCAAACCCACACCATTTTCTTAAAATGAGTAAGTTCGTAGCTGGGCACGTGACCAAAATGTGATTTTTGAAATTATGAATTGCCTCTTTCTGGACGCAAATTTTGCGCTTAAACTTCAAGGAACATTTTGAAACGATGATGTGGTGACGTTTACAGCACATCTGAGCGTAACAATCAAACATTTAACAAGATATAAGGATAAAGTAGTTTTGCCCGCGATGTTGGGGGGCAAGAGTATGCCCTCCAACACGGCGGCCAATACAAATCATATTACTTTGTAATATGCCATCGAATTTCTCCCTTAAATGCGTTTCCTCTCAAATTTCCGGTGTAAGATAATTTTTATGTGCTCTGTCAATTTTTGGCGTCAGCAAGATTCCAACTCATTGCTTAAATGACGCATTGGTCACGTGACCTCTTAGTGCAAGTGGCCTCTTGTAATCCTTTCTGCAGGTTGGGTCACAGAAAACCATCAATATAAGACTCTTCAGTTAGATTTTAATAAACACTGGGTTATACTTGTTAGCCATGGCCTAATGCTCATATCATAATTAATGAAGCAAATAATCACTGTTGTTTTAAGAAAAAAAAAAGTGTTGAAATTCAGGGACACAATTTGTAAAAGGAAAATAGAACATAGATCAACAGAAAGTTAAATAACTAACCTTGAAGTACTTTGAGCTGTGTGAATTTTGCGTTTGAACATCCCGTTTTAACCACTTCTTGCGACTACTGAATCAATGCGACTTTCGAACTTTTAGAAGCAAAGCGTCATGGGATACTTGATCTATCCTCCTTTGACCTGACCCAAATTTTCGTGCAATCCCGTAATCTAATAATTTATGGCATCCTGCCTCCCATGCATACTTTGAAACAAGAATCCCGCTCCGAATTGGCTTTCAAATTTCGAATCCAGAGCTTCAAATAAGGGAAATCCATGAATGAATTGGATAAGATCTTGCTGTGTGGGCCCTTTATCCTGTGTGTTTTAAGTTGTGTTTATGATAAATGGCAAAGTGTTTTTCTTTTGATTCCAGATGAGAGTGTTATTGATAAAGGACCATTTAACAGAACCGTTGTTGAAGGAGATAACATCACTTTTTCCTGCAACGCAACTGGCAATCCAACTCCGAACATTACATGGACGAAAGTTGGCAGTTCAAGGGTGTTGTATCAAGGAAAGACGTACAGTATTTATAAGATACAAAGAGAGACTGCTGGAGATTATGCGTGTACAGCTTGGAATGGAGTTGGAAAAAAATCTCATGCTTCTGCCACAGTCATTGTACACTGTAAGTGGCTTCCTTCAATTCTTGTTCATTTGCAGTTTACGTAAATGGAATTCAATTCCGACAGGATGTTGTGGCTTTATAACGACGGCTGTTTTGGAGATGATATATTGCTTACTAGACTTCCAACGCCGTTATTATGAAGTAATGTGATTCTTAAATTGATTTTATTTTATTTAATTGATACATCTTTTTAGTGGAGTGGGTAAACGAAATTTCAGTAAAATCGTCCATTGATTGAATAAGAAATTCGTACTTTAGACAAACTGTTGGCGTGGTTATATCCTTAATCACTTGCGACACACGAGTTCCAAACCAAGAAAATTTGAAACATACATCAGCAAGTGCTAGTGGTGGTGAAAAAAACGAGTTACCGAGGAAGTGGAAATGAAGAATGAAAACCAAACAGCTGCTGTCACACCAATACTAACCTGAGATCAGGCTCTATTTTCGTTTTGCTTTGTAAAATACATTCCAGTGGGCAAGACTAAACGAAAAGAGAACCTGGTGCAAACCTCCTACGAAACGTCTTCCACCCACTTTAAATTGATTGACATTTGCCGAATCAGCCAACCAAAATTACTTCCGTTACTTGTTATTTTAGTATGCAAATTTTTCATACGTGGGAAAAATGTAGACTCGCTGACTTGAAAAATAGCTTTTATCTTTTAGTTTTTTTTAGACCTTTGTTTCGTTAGTAAATTCGTAAATTGCAAGTGTACGCAAGGGACCAAATCAGTTATGCATTTGAGAACTTGTTTGGTTTGTCCTGAGATAATTTATATATCTTTTGAAAAAGTTCGCAATATATTTCTCCAAGATTTTAAAGATTTATGTACTGAGAATTGGGGAAACTGTCGAGGAAAATAATTAAGGCAACAGACAAATAGATATTTCGGTATTTTAAATTAGAGTGAGCCTAGCCAAAATATTAAAACTACGACATCGTGTCGCCGTCTTTTCGAAAACTTTTTACCTTCTACGCCAACAGATATAACCTTCAAGATCTCCATTAATCTCACAAGAATTTAAATGTGATTGTGCTGACCGTTTATTTTTAGTTGAAAAATCTATTTTTTGTAAATCCAGGTAAATATTGTCTGCCACTGTGGAAAACGAAACGGCACTTCTAAAACTGCATGCTCAACTGACCTATAAACAAAACCAAAAACAATATTACAAACACACTTTGTAGTTCTCCGTAGTTGTGTTGTTGTTTTACTTCAGGTCTAAAATCTTGGCTCGCTAAATTTATTAATCGAAGTTCACAAATAGCCAACGAGCAAGGACACCAGTTTTCCTGGTTTATTTTTTACAAAAAGCGAAGGCAAACAACAAGTCTGTTACCTTAACACTAGCACCACCAGATTTTATCATAATGCCTACAAAAATTCCTTGAACAGCGTTACAATGTTTTTCGTCTAATACTTCACAGTTGGTGACTGAGGTTTCTTTCGCAATGAGCCTCCGCCTGCGTATACGGTTCAGAGAAGTCATTCCCGGCTAAACTTTCAAATGAAATCACTTTTAAGATGGACAGTATTTTGATTTGCACTCGTTTGTTGGTAAATCAAAAGGCACCATGTTAGCAGTCAACAACTTGCAGAGGGATAGATTTCTCAATTTTCTGATGGATTCCATCTTAAACTGTGTTGAAACAATAGCAGATGTGTTTTCATAGACCAGTGATAGTAGAGGGTTTTGAAAGCCTTGTGGCTGTAAAAGTTCCTTATCTTTGCTTGCTGAACCTTTTACTTAATTATAGCACTGTCACTGCTTACAGAACAGATTTTAAGCCAACCATAAGCCTGCAGTTTTAGATGAAATTATTGCAAAGAAGCGTTTCCTCAGCCCAATCAAAAGAATACCCAGGATCATGATACTGAAAACAAATGACAAATCTATGTATTTCTGCAGTTATTATCGGAATTAACAACTGCATTGCTAAATGGAGGTTGCGTGCCTGGAGTATCCAGTGGCTTCCACTATCAGCAGCCAGCTGCTAGATTGAATGCCCCCATGACTGGCATAACAGCGACACCCAGCCATGACAGGCACCTGTCACACTGAAAACATCAGTGGAGAAAACCAACAAAGCCTAGGGAGAGGGGGAAGGGGAAGAAAATGGCTGACAGAACCTAGCACGAAGGAAAACTGACTGTGCCAATGAGTCATATGATCGATCTAGCCAGCTACTGGGCATGTGCATGCCAAAGACCGCTGACCTCAGGCACTTAAGGCACTCTTAGTTGTTAACTCCTTTAAATTGCATTTAAATGCGTTTAACAACTGCATCGCTAAAATAGAGGTTGGGTGCCTTGAGTATCCAGGGGCTTCCACTATTGGCAGCCAGCCCCTAGATTGAAGTAATGCCCCCATGACTGGCACAACAGCACAACCCAGCCATGAGCCCCCACACCAACCTGAAGGGGCCTCCGAGCCATGGCACTAAGGCTCGGAGAAGGGGCTCGTGGCTTGGAGACGCCCAAGCCCATAACGGCCAAACCCGAAGTCACCTGAACGTATGTGTATGCTACCACCCTTGATAAGGTACCTGTTACTGAAGCAGCCTCCCAGAAACTTCCAAAATTGATTCCACAGGGATTCTAACGTAGAGTTAATATGCATCACTGGTCCACCCGCCCATGGTCTTGATAAGGTGATCTGGAATGCCGCATTGCGCAGGTGCCGTAGCGGCCCCAATGCGAAAACTGTGGCTTGAAAACTGCCAGGGATTCCCGCCCCCTGTAACACAGACTGGATGAAGGAAGACAGACGAGAACGAGTTAAAGGCCGACCATGGTCCCCGACAGGGGACCAGATGAGGGCCCTTAAAGATGTAAATATGCCAGGATGGCCGAAATTGGACAGAGCACGCCCCAGGTATATGAAACATCCCTGGGGAAACAGGTCATTTCTAGAACTTTCGATGTACATGCAAAGGCTGGAAGGATTAACCTCATCATCTACTTGTAAGTCCTGAACGGTTAAATGGATGGATGGGTCAAAGGTGGAGTTGACCATAAACTCTCCAGCCCTTAGGAATCCAAAGAAACCTAGGCAACAGGCAGCTCACAGCATGACGTGCTCTGAGTTGTGGGTATCCAAGGAATGCTGGATAATCCGCATGGTCGGGTGTCACTGGCTGGCATTGTGTGAGAGTTGAGCCTTGGTGGCGCTTAATGCCCCGGAGAGGGCACTGAAGTTGGAGGCAGTTCACCAAGGGATCGGGTAACCCTGATCGATGTGCAAGGACCGTATTGCCGAGAGATAAACCTTTATTGAGCAGTGATGAAAATGATCTGCTAGGTGGGAACAAAAACGCAGCAAGGTTTGTTCATTAAAGAACCATTTGAACTGACATAGCCATCTAAAGTACAGAAATTGATGAACTGACACTTCGCTGAACGATACACCTGTCAGGTTGAAGGAGCCAGACCATTGGAGAGATAAAATTGGCACTTTTGGTCTAAACTACAGGCAGCTGGGCCAAGACCAAAGGAGGGTACTGGCGTTGCTGTGGGAGATGCATAAGGAGCTAGCTGATGGAACTGCTGAAATTCAAAACGAGGAATGATGTTAACTATGGCATTTGATTTTCTAGAAACGTGACGAGCAGTAAATGCAAAGGATTTCCGGGCCGCCAACAGGGAGAGGTGACGTAGCAGCACCTTCAAGTTCGAATCTCGTGATGTACTGGACCACAACACCTCGACCGCTGCTGTATTGTCAGAACAGAATTTTACCCGCTTTGCAGACCACTGGTGACCCCAAAGGGAAGCTGCCGAAACAATCAGAAAGAGTTCTTTGTAGGCAATGGATAAGGGCATCTGTAATGGAGACTACCTCCCTGTGAACCAGGGAGCCCCGTATCCAACAGAGCTAGCAGCGTCAGATGAGACATGAAGATCTGGGATGGGAGTGCAGCGAGGAGACTGGAAGAATTCGAGCCACCACGACAAATCCAAATGAAAATTATCTATTAAGCCTTATAGGATGGTTCTCTCTGCAAAAAGCTGAGAGCAGATTGATCATACGGTGGAGGAAGGTGCAACCAGAAGGGACGACTTTGCATGCATGTTGAAGATTGCCAATTAAAGACTCCAACTCCTTCCGTGTGCAATGGCGTTTTTGTGACCAGAAGACCAGGATTGTGTGGATACGATCAAAGAGAATCAAGTTCTATGCCTAAAACAGTCAGGATAGTGGAAGGGCTCTCCAACTTGTCGGGGTGAAGGGGAATCCCCCAATCCTGGAATTGCTGGATACTGGTGTCTATGTTCCGTTGGCACGTCTGAGAATTAGGAGGACCCAGGGTGTGGAAATCGTCCAGATTATGAAGGAGAAACCTCACGTCATACTGTTTTTTGAGAACCCATTCCACCAGGTCTACAACTGAAGAAAAAACCTAAGGCGCTGAAGGCAAACCAAAAGGTAAGGTGATGTCCACAAAGTAATTTCCTTGCCACTGCATGCCAAGAAGATAAAGATCATTAGGGTGTACGGGAATAATGCGGTAGGCACTTTCCACATCAAACTTCGCAAGCAAAGTGCCCCGACCGAGTGACATAATCTGTCAATAGTGCCATCCACTTTCATTAATTGAACCGTGAAAGGGTCTTTTCTAATACCATCATTTACGCTGCGACCATCAGGACTAGAAAGATTCAGAATCAAGCACCATTTGCCTGGCTGGTGTCTTTTGGGGATGACTCCAAAACGGCTGATGTGAAGGTGAGGTAACAGAGGGGAAGAAAAGGGACCAGCAATGCGACCCTTAGCTAACTCCCTGTGAAGGTAGTCATCAATAACCGAGGGCTGAAGACTAGCAGAAGACATATTCTGTGCGGCCGATTTTTAGGAGACAGAAGCAGTGTTGAAACCAACATGAAACCCATTCTGAAGACCATCCAAGACATAGGTTACAAAAGATTGATCTGGGTAATTATTCCACTCTTATAGGAGAAACTTTGTAGGGAGGAAGTAGCGGCTGATGCAACAACAGAGCCAATGCAGACGAGCAGGAATCATTGAAGAATAAATTCAGTCCAGGCTTCTGCCGGGAATCAACACCAGTAAACGCAAACGTGGAGCAAGGAACAGTCAAAGAACTACTAACGGTATTTACATAAGAGGGGGCTGCCACCTGCAAGGCAACCTTGTTAACACCAACGGCGTTTTCCCCCGGACGGAGTGAGGGACCAGGAGCGCTGAGACCCCTTGTAGGCTCAAAAGGGACAGTTGGCAAGGGGGTGTTCACCATCGCATCTTTTGCAGACATGACGATACCGACATTTACCCAGAGACCAGTGACAGGTGCCATCATTCCAGGATCGACAATACTGAATGGGGTCGAAGGAACGCTTGGATTTGATGTTCGATGAGGCTGAGGTATGGGCCAGGAAGTCAGGCGAGGAGCTGATTGACCAGTAATGGTGCTGGATGCACGTGTGTGGAAGTTGTATAAATTCAGGTTCATCTGAGACCAGTCGGTTAGAAAATAGGCTGCAGCATCCTTCCTGAATGCCATGTCATCATTCAACCAAGCTGGTCTAGGAAACTGACAAGCCATCTGGAGGATCAGTAACTTATACTGAGTAGTATCCTGCCAGTGAGAAGGGTAAGTACTGCAGAAGATCCACTGGTAAATGGTAAAGGCCTGAATCCATGTTAGAATGTCGGTGATCTCTACCACCCTTTTTTTGGCAGGGGCAATGAGTAGTTTACCATCCAAATAGGTATGAGGCTTGCCAAGCTCAACAAAGGTGCCACTGGTGATTTTGGCCAGCAGTTTTCCCAGGATTGGCGCGTAACTGGGGCCAACTACAAATTCTTTCCCGACTGAAGGCACCAAGGTCAGGCTGCTGGTCGACAGTACCAAGGATGGTGGCTACGAAGCCGGGACCGGTGGCTGAGAAGCACAAAGAAGCACGGGAATGCCAACAGACGAATAAGTAGAAAGAAATGGCGGCACAGTCACGCTACCTGCTAAAGAAGATGAGCGACAACCAGTCGAGGTCGATGTTTGAGTCGACGGCACATTTATCGTGGAAGAGGCCACGCTGGAATTGCCAGACCTGCTGCTGGAAGAATTTGGCGCTCCGTTCTCCTGAAAAGCCGTTAACATCTAAGGGAGCGACTGCTGAAAAGCTTGGGAAATGGCCTGTGACAGAGTCTCTGCTGAGATGGCGACCAAAGAGGGCGATGAAGTAAAGGAGGACGAAGAAGTGGAAGCTAATGTAGTCGAGGGGGCGGATTCACCACTAGACGTAGACGAAGCGGTACCGTGCGGGTCACTGTTGAAGCGTGGGAAATTTGGAATGTAGAACCATATTGGAGCGAATTTAGAACTGGAAAGATAGGTGTGTTGTCAGGGAAAAAAGGATGCACATGATCTTAACTTTTTTCCCTTTCCATTGAGTTGCTGGATAAATAAAATCTGTCTCATTGGTCCACGTAAGTAACTGCTTTGACTGTCTATAAATGTAAACCCAAATAATTGGTCTTCAACATTTCTATCGTGGTGGAAAATCGAAAAGGAGTGGCTGAGTCCATGTTGGGATGGCATGCTTTGTCCCCATTATCATATATCAATTTGGAGAGCAAGGGATGGCGCAGTGGTGAGAGTGCTCGCCTCCCACCAATATCGCCCAGGTTCAAATCTTGGTGTCAATGCCATATGCGGGTTGAGTTTGTTGATGGTTCTCTCCCTTGCTCCGAGAGGTTTTTCTCCGGGTACTCTGGTTTTCCTCTCTCCAAAAACTAACATTTCCAAATTCCAATTCGACCAAGAATCAGGTGGATGAAGAACCACTTTGTGGATGTGCTTCCTCCAAATCATTATTATTATTATTACTATTATTGAAACTAACGAACTGAATCGATATTTCTGACCATTCGTGGAATAACTCTTGCTGAAGGATAATAATATTTTTGTTATTTCATTTTAAATTCTGTCCTGCATCGTTAGCCCATTAAAGATGAACTGGTTTATAATCAATTGAAACATATTGTTTTTTTTTCGTAAACAAAGTCTTTTTGTGTCTGTTGGTTCGAGTTACATAATCTCGGGGGTATATACTCTTTCAGATGGCAGCACGATTGATCAAAAGATATCGAGTGTGGTTGTTATTGAAGGAAACAACGTCACTATTAAATGCAACGCCACTGGAAACCCACCACCCAACATCACTTGGATAAAGGATATCAGTCCATTGGTGTTTTACCAAGGAGAGAGTTATGATATTGTTAATATTGATAGAAACTCTGCTGGTGATTACACATGCACAGCATGGAATGGAGTCGGTGAAAAAGCGAATGCAACTGCTGCAGTTACAGTGCACTGTAAGTTATTCTTTCCTTACAATGCTTGACTCTTAAGATTCAATGCATATTGGTGTAGTTAGACTTGCGTAGACATGAAAAATGTTTTGCGCACCATGTTCCCACAATTGCAATACTACGCTTATGTGCCTTGTCAATTTGAGGTTAAGAATAAAATGCCAGTTCTGAACTCAATACCAGTATAATGTGTTGGCTTTCTCAAACTCATTAATAATTCATTAAGAAAATACAAAGGAAAGTAATGTTTAATGAGTGTTTGGAAATCGGATGAAACACTGCTTAGTATTTGCATCCTTAATTTCTCCTTCAAAAATGATTTTGTTTGAGAAGAAATATCAAACATTCGACACAGTGTTTCATCACCAGATGAAACACCTCGAAGTTCGTCAAAAATACTCCGCTGCGCGTCGTATTTTCAACTCTCTTCTCGGTGTTTCATCTGGTGATGAAACACTGCATCTCATGTTTGATATATTACTTCTCAAACTCATTAATAATTCATAAAGAAAATTCAAAGGAAATTAATGTTTAATGAGTGTTTGGATATCAGATGAAAAACTGCTCATTTTTGCATCCTTAATTTCCCCTTCAAAAATGATTTTGTTTGAGAAGAAATATCAAACATTCGACACAGTGTTTCATCAACAGATGAAACACCTCGAAGTTCGTCAAAAATACTCCGCTGCGCGTCGTATTTTCAACTCTCAGACTCTTCTCGGTGTTTCATCTGGTGATGAAACACTGCATCTCATGTTTGATATATTATGTCAATCCTTGGTTTGTGCGAGTTGGTCCCGTTGTGTAGTACCGAAAAAAGGATTAACCTGCAGATAAGTAAGGGAATGTTCAACGGAAAATAATGAATGAAAGTGCGGTGTTTTGGCTTCAGTTTCTCTCCATGCAGCTTATCGGAATTTTTTTTTCCCTTATTTGTTTGATTGACAGTTATTTCTCTGAAATTCTTGATAGACTGGTATCGTTTTAACTAAAGTAAATGTCTTAATTGAAATTACAATCTTGGCCACAGACGAAATGTTTGAGAGGATCTTGTTATTGAGAAGTGTACATGCGCGAAGTAAATAAGGAAAAATCAGCGCATCTCGACGACCAGACTGCCTTGTGTCTGAAATTTTGCTTTGTATTTTTAAAATTTTGCTGGTAAATGTCTTGAAGCAATGTTTCTAACTTCGACAGATGAAAGTGCTATTGATCTGGCGCTATCAAACATTACGGTTGTTGAAGGAGATAATGTCACTCTGCACTGTAATGCCACTGGTATCCCAACGCCAAACATTACTTGGACCAAGGATAGCAATCTGACCGTGATACATCAAGGAGGAACCTATAACGTTGCTGATATAGAGAGAAAGGCTGCTGGAGATTACACATGCAGAGCTTGGAATGGAGTTGGTAAACAGGCCAATGCTACAGCTTCTGTCACTGTACATTGTGAGTTCACCATTACCCATGATTTATGATATGTCTAGTTCATAGTGTAGTTGCTAAACTGCTAAGGTCTCTAAGGAGACTTGCAATGTCAGAAGATCAGTGGGCTACAAAATGCTGTTCTATGACGGTATTTAACTTGTTTGACATAACAGTCTCAGGACAAAAAGGGTTTGTCTTATGTAGTGAAAGTGTTAAACAAATAGACAAATTATGTCCAGTTGGTCTTGACTAGATTAAAAAAGATGGAAGAAGAATGTTGTCATTACTAACATATCCATGTTAAAGGACCATTTACACGCAAATAGCTATAGCGCTCGTGCTTTAAACAAAACCTGCTACAAGCTAACTATATTTTTCTGAAAAGTATAATAGCTCAAAATGGTACCATTTTCGTTTCGTTTGATTGAAAGGAATAATAAGAGTATAAGTCACACTTGCACTGTATCTCTTAAATTTTCTTCTTTTTTAAACGAATCGAAGCTTGTTTACGTGGCATGTTTACGTTCGCATGCATTGCTTGTGTGTTGCAACTTTCATTCAAAACAAGCTATCTCGATTGCTCTGTTTGGGCCACGCCTAAATAATAAAAGAGCGTAATATCTGACTATTAACCTTCCGGGTAATGAGTGATCTGTGGGGGCTATAACAAGCTGGGTGTAAATGGTTCTTAACCCTGGCTAACACCTTAACTAAACTTGGAAAGATGAGTGATTGTCTTTGAGAAACATGGTGCTCGCAAGGTTCGCTCTTCCTTTATGTCTTCCGCATGGAAATAGAAATTGTTTTGTTCACTTGATTAAAAAGGTTCCCGAGGAATAGTTGTTACAGAAGCTGTAAACATAACCTTGAAGATAATATTTTTGTTAATAGACGAGAGTGTTCTCTACATGTCACTGTCAAATGTAACTGCTGTTGAAGGAGACAACGTCAGTCTACGTTGTAATGCAACTGGTAATCCAGCACCAAACATCACTTGGAACAAAAAGGGCAATCCAGAAGTATTGTATCAAGGAGAGACCTACAGTATTGTCAACATTCGGAGAACGGCTGCTGGAGATTACTCGTGTACAGCTTGGAATGGAGTTGGTGACAAAGTCAGTGTTTCAGCTTCTGTCACCGTACATTGTGAGTAACATGTTTCAAAAGTCGCTCTTTCGTGGTTAATGTTAGACAGATTCCAGCCCTTATTTGCCCTTTTGCCATGATATCTCTGTGGATACGTAGAGGCACTTTTGGTGTCCAAACTAAAATGGTGTGAATGATTTTTACTTAAAATTGTCGTCAGACCCCATTTTTTTTGTCATGATTGGGTAGTACTTTTTTGCAAACTGAAAAGATTATCCATTCTTTTGAATGTTAAGGAACATTTCTCCCAGACGGTAAAGCAACTGTGAGTATTTTCACAATGTCAGTTAAAACATCCCTGTTGACCAGTCATGGTGTGCTGTATATTACCCCAATTCCCTTCCATCACTTTTTGGGTAATGGAATACAGATAATAATGAAAAGGACATAAGTTATTTTGTTCTCAAGGGTGTCCCAGATGATCCATAAGAGAATATACACTAACATTAGATTGCTCACTTGAGAAGTTCGACATCTTTAGAAAGTCCTTATGCTTAAGGTCTGTGACGTAATTAGTGATCTGCTCAGTTTTAACATCTAATCGTCATGTGCTTTCTTTCTCTTTTCCCTCTACTCAGATCCCCCGAGCATAAGTGGTTTACCACCCAATACTGTTATCCAGGAAGGGAAAAATGTCACACTTTACTGTAACGTCACAGGGAACCCAAGTCCTAAGATTACGTGGACCAAAGATGGCAGTGTTAAAGTGTTGAGTGGGGCAGAAAGGTTTATCATCCTCAACGTGACTCGTCAACAGGCTGGTGACTACGTTTGCACAGCCAGGAACGGAATGGGAACCAGTGCAAATACCACTCTTATGCTTACTGTACACTGTAGGTTACATTCAGGCTTCATTGACAGTAGATTAAACGAAATTGCTCTTAAACAGAAACATTATTGTGCAGCGCTGTCCTAACATTATCAGGTCCACCTAGTTGACAGGCGTCTTTGGGCTCAGCCTGGAGTGGTTAAGTATTGACGTGCTTAGGGGTGAAATTTCAATACCTTAATCATGCGATCAACAAAGCGTTCAATTTATATTGTTTTCACTTTCTCAGCAATCATTTTTATTCCACGATGTGGTAACTGATCCCCAGTAAATGTGTGCTGTTCTAGTGACAAGTTGCCAAAAACAGGAAAAGACCAACATAAACCATATGATAGTAGTGTATTTGTTAGTTTATGGTATAAATGGCCTGGGTGCTATAACACTCGTACTCTTCACATTCAACCTTGTAGCTTTAGAAATTGCAATGTATTTCAAAGTATAGTCCTCCAGGATGTTCGAAAGGTTATTTGAATTTGAGCGAATTAAATTCACTCCATTTTCTCGAAATAAAAGCGCTTGATGAACTATAGAACGATTTGAATAACAAATCTGTTAAATCAAGTTTTATTTTTTAGATCCATCTTCGGTTGGTACTAGACCGATGAACCAAACTGTCATGGAAGGACAGAATGTAACTCTGCACTGTAATGCCACTGGTAATCCAGCACCAAACATCACTTGGACTAAAGATGGTAATGCAGTGGTTTTGTACCAAGGAGAGACGTATACAATTTATAACATACAAAGAGAGGCTGCTGGAGGTTACACATGTACAGCCTGGAATGGAGTTGATGATCAAACAAATGCTACAACTTCTATCACTGTGTACTGTAAGTTATGGGGATATTTCATTGCCTGTAACAGCGCAATGATATGAAGTATATATACGAGGATAACATTACTGTCTCGATCATCCCTACCCTTTAGGGATAACTGGCGATTCTTGAAGGTATTTGACAAGGAAAATTTATACCAGTGCAAGATTGTCTCTCACTTAAGTACTGTGTGCTTTAATGCATATTTTTAAACATAATACAAGTGCATACCAAGAACACCAAACGAGTGTGACACGTCTTGTAGCAGTGTTTACATTTTTGGCACCACCAGCATTATCTCATAGCTGGAGGCGGCTGAGTCCTTGTCTTGATTGCATGGATGAATCTCTCAAATCAACGTCGACTGTTCATATGCCATTTGAACAGCTGTCAACTTGTGTCTTTTGTCTTCTACAGATCCTGCTGTGATCCACCAGGCTCCAAGCAACCAAACTGTTCTTGAATATAGCAACATCACCCTTGTCTGCAATGCAACAAGTAACCCACCCTCTAACATCGTATGGACTCAAAACGAAAATAGTACCATTCTCCATCAGGGGAACGCTTTTATTATTAGGAATGTTACAAGAAATTTTAATGGGACACGATATAAGTGCACCACAGAGAACAATGTCACTGAAGATGCTTATTCATATGCGGTGGTTACTGTGTTATGTAAGTATAGTTTCCAATAATGATAGCACCAGTTCAAGTTAGTATACAGATAAAACTAGTTTGTGAATTTCGAATAAAATTCACTCGGAGAATGGCAGTCATTAACGCCCCAATTTTTTTGCAGGGTATAATATACCCTCGTCCACCAGCTTGGTCCAGAATTTGTTAAGGCACAAAGTTGAAATATTAAAGCTTGATTAGAGGCTGACGAACATGAGGGGTTATTTTTGTAGGCAATCCCTCGTCCGTTCCAAGGCTAAAATCTAAAGTATTAGGATAGTTAGAGTACGGACCCAGGGCCCTAAAAAAACTGTAAGACCATTACTATTTTGAACACTGGCCCACTTCCTTGAGCCATGGAATAGTTTATTTTACGTTACTCAGTAACCTTCTGCCAATTAATCTCCTTGTTTTTCAGATCCACCCGAAGTTTCTGTCTTGTCACCAAACCGAGTTCTGGAAGGCGATAATGTGTCACTTATATGCAATGTCAGTGGCAACCCACATCCTAATGTTGCGTGGGTTAGAGCAAGGGATAACTCTGTGTTAATAAACAATAGTAAAGCACTGTTGACAAATATCAACAGAACGGAGTCTGGAGTCTTTCATTGTCTAGCTTGGAATGGAATTGGGGCAAATGCATCATCGAATATTAGTATTGATGTATTGTGTGAGTATGTTTTTAATAAAGAAGACCTCAAAGTCCCTTTAGTGTTGATTCCTTCAGAGGTCAATTGAGAAATCCAAGCACAATTTGATTATTCCATTTTACTCAAGTTATTTGCAACTGGGAAAGGTAGCTTCAGGTCAAGTAATTCTCATGTATAAGAGAATGGAAATACTTGACCTTTAAATTCATATCTGAAGAGGCTGTTGAGCAACTGAGAGGACAATTCCCCCTGCCTTGTGTAGTAAATACTTGTTACTAATGTGTGAACCACAACTGCAAATTTCCTTGATGTTTCTTGTTTGCGGAGGTTGGGTATTGTGATTTGAGGCAGGTATTGTTGGGTGTCTATTCAAGCTTTTCTACTTTGTAATTTAGTCACACAGGCAACTGCCATTTTTTATCAAATATAAAGTTATGGGCACACAATCAGACACATCACATGAGTAGTTTTCGATCATTTTCATACATTTTTCTCTGAAAATTTATCATATACTTCATGCGTTCTCATTTAGCAAGTTGTTAGAATGTTTCGTCTCACCCTAAAGTTTTCTGTGCATTGCTTTTCGTCGTTGGAGGATGACAAATACCGCAAGTTATGCCAGTATTCTTGTTGTTGTGAAGCTCCTTCTACCGATTGAAGCATATGTTAAAAACTTAAAGGGGCTTTGTGTATCTTTAGTTATGAAACAATCTGTATGCCATGCAGTGTGTTCCTTAACACACAGTTAAAGTGTAAGATCATAGAATTTGTAGGAAGGTTTCTAGTATCCCGAACCACCCTCTTAGAGCTAATTTCCCCGAGACTAAGATTAAAAGATACAACTTAAGGAATAAATCTCCCGCATTGCCCGCCATTCATACGGACCGTTTCAAGAATACATTCTTTAACAGAATTGTCTTTAAGTATAATGTAGCTTTGTAAATAGTGCACTTTCTGTATTCGATTTTTGTATTTGTTTCTATGTATATTCTAATCTTATTTACAGACATACTTTAGCCCATTAGCATTGTTATATTTAAATGTAACAAGATATGTAATTTTATCTTTTGAACAATAAAGACACTTTATTTATTTATTATTTATTTAGTTAGTTAGGATAGTATACAGCAGCTTTTATTCTAAGAGTAGCTGGCTGGGGCGTCATCCAGTATTACTTTCCCAATTAACAAGCGATATCTTTGTTGCAAAAATGTGTTATCGTTCTAGCTCATGTGGCTACTGTTCACTTCACCTGTGATCACGTAAAAGCAAAAAAAAGTAGAGGTCCCTACAAGTCTTCTGCGTAATTTTTGCCACAAATTTGCTCCTCACGTCGTTTTTCTCGTTATGCCAGTTTTCCAGAAGAATAATTCTAAACTACATTTTTGTCCTTGTGAAAGGTTCATTCAGGGCCAATTATTTCCAAGCCATACTGAAAATTTATATTACTGCGTCCCCTTCCTTCGGCTTCGTCTCAGGTTATGTTTTACTCTTCACTCTAACACATTTGTGAAAACAGTTTCATTGGTATTCCTTTAATTTCACCAGATCCTCCAGAGATAGTTACTCCTCCTGTGGATCAAGTTGTTTGGGTTGGACAACTAGTAAATCTCTCCTGTGACGCTGTTGGTAACCCTACGCCCAAGATCTTCTACACAGTAATTGGAGATAATGGCATAGTTGGTTTTGAGAAGATGCTTGTCATTAACAGCTCCAGTACACCTTACATGAAGACTTTCACCTGTAATGCTAATAATACGATAGGACCAGTGGCGGCAGCTAATGCAACTATAACAGTTTTAGGCAAGTGTAATGTGACATTTTGAACAAATGTTCTTTGAAGATTTGCTAAACAGATTGCTGCCTAAATGAGGCAATTAGAAGCCAATAAAATAAGCAAACGTTCTCTTGGTGTTGGTGTTGGAATGGGTGAGTCTCTTTTCTTCTACCTTCTTTTATGGTATCTTCCAAACAAATTTTAGCCGATGTGGGCAAATTTATAGGCAGAGATCACAACAAACGTTTACTAGAAGACAGGGTTGCATTAGTCTCGTTTTTGCTTTGGCATATGGTGAACCAATCCTTTTGTTAATTAAGGGAGCTTCAAAATGTTTGTGGGATTTTTTTGTAAATTATGGGTAATCAGCAATTTTGCTAGTAGACTTTTAAGCAAAAAATCTCGGGAAAAGCCGATTGCATTTCAAAATGACCGCTCTCTGCCGAGCGGTCTAATTTAAAGTAAAACCTAACACCTTTTTTGTTCAACAGCAAGACCTTGTGCACAGAATCCTTGCCTGAAGGGAAGCTGCATAGACGTTAATATTGGCACGTATCTCTGCAATTGTAGCTACGGTTATCAAGGAGCAAACTGTGATCAAGCGAGTAAGTATGAAACCTGAACATGGTAATTTTTTGACAGCTTTATCAAAAGGCTTGTTACATGAATCCAGTATTTGACGAGTCTGTCAAACAGAAGGAGAGTGGACGAAAATTCTCAGAGGATTCTTTGAAATACAGGGGAAAGTTTTTGAAAACACTTAAATCGCAAGTGGTTCCAGAGGTAGGAAACAGCCATACTTAAGGATTACGTAAACTCAAGGATCTGTTAAGTAAGGTTGATTCTAAATAAATGTGACTGTTAAGAAAAAACCAGTTAAAAGTAGAAGGTTATGCCACCTACTAATATTAATTTGTTCTTCTTTGCAGTTCCCCCCAAAACAGATGTTGTAAACGGTTTGATAACTCTCAAGAAGGACAGATACATTTATCATCCAGATTACCAGAACCACAGCAGTGCAATGTTCACAGAACTAAGCTCTAGGTTTTGTGAGAATGTAAGTCCATGTCTACTACAACCCTTGTATCATCCAATTCTTGGTGCCCTGATGGGTTCTTTTCATTAAATAGGTAATGATATATTAGAGAAATTTAGAGTCACTTCTACGGGAAACAGCAAATGTGAGATTCAAGTCGACAGTTTCTCGATTTACGAAATGAGCAAATATAACAGTCCAAGTTGATTTTTATAGATGAAACACGCTTGGAGCGACTTACCTTTGTATAGAATTATAAATATACGGTAATCAACAACTAAATGGATAACTTGGTCACGTGGTATATATTGGCGTTTGCCGTAAAGGTGATTTTTAATCTCTAACGTAAGGACTGTATATCTGTTCATCAGCCAGTAGTGTTGATCAAAATGCAGTTTACCATGTTACTCCAAGATTCAATACTGAATACAGATGAAATTATCAACCTTAACCGTGCTTCATCAACCTTCACAGCGTTGCTAAATAACAATTATTCCTCGAGCCCGAATGAGATCTGAGTCTCGGCCTCTTGGGCTATTGACTCAGAAGCCGCGAGGGTGAGAGGAATAATTGTTTTTGTAAAATTCAACTAGTTGGTCAAAAATATCGAGACAAAACAACTTTAACTAGCAAGACGCAATTCAGCTTCCATTGTTCTGGTTATCAAAGCCGGCGCTTTTCGCTGCAAGTGGGCAAAAACATATAGCCTAGTAGTAGCTCAACCAATCAGAACGCAGCTTTGATAATAGACCACTATTTGGATTTTACTAATGTAAGTTATCTCATATAGCCAATAGAACAATAAAACCGTAACCAGGTAAAAAGCAATGGAGATCCGTACCTGTAGTCATAGTAGTAGTATAAGAGGGACTGGTTAGAACCCCTTTTTGCGGAGGAATACATCAACGCCGATGACGTCGTAAATGAGATTGCACCGCATATTATTCCTAGGATAAAGAAGGCTTTGACGTCATTGGCGTTAATGTATCCACAGCGAGTTGTTGACACTCTAGCCTGTGTACAGCCGGCCCCTCCACGAACAAAAAAAAGTTCTGGGTATGTAAACGGATAGCTGTGTTACAGTGGACTTTTCTGCTGAGGATACCTTCGTTATTTTTACCTTTTTAGGTGACTGTCTTGTTTCAAGGCGAACCACAGTTTGGTCACTGTAAAGTCAATGACATCATGTAAGGATGAAGTTCAGATATTTAAGGAAATAATACAGATTTGTTAAAAGGGTACCACACCATATCGTGTCTTCATAGCAAAGCTAACTTCAACAGTTTTACACGATGTAAACCTACCAATAATAATTTCCTCCAATGAATCTCATTAAATCTTCTCCTTTTGATTAAACAGTAAGAATCACTTTAACAGTGAAACGCTATGAAAATGATCTTAAACCTTTTTATGACATCTTCTTTAACAATCCCGTAAAATTGGTTTAGTGCTTTTGGTAAATGTTGTGTCTTACACAGAAAAGAGCGGAAATACAAAGGTCAACAAAATATGTAGAAAAAAGTCTTACGTCTCTAGAGAAACTATTTCTTTTTCAAGAAAACTTGTTTCACTAAATTAAAAAATGACACAGCTCTCGTGTTTATGAAAAGCTTTAACATTTTTGTTGTTGTTGTTTTCTGCTTTTTCATGTAAATTGCTATTATAACACACGTTGCTTCATTGTTTTCGCCTACAGAAATGGAAGTGTTGTGGTAAACTTTACTTTGATCTTCATCAGGGGAAATAAATCTGTAGACAACCTGCTACAGGTCTTAAAAGAATCTGTCGACAACGGCAGTGTTGTAGCAATTCCAGTAGAGAGAGAGACACTTCACCTCATTTTACCTTGTGAGTTAACACTTTGTATCTCACCAATCTCGTTGCTGAAATGGGTTGTTGGTCCTCATCAGGCCCTGTACGAAACACCATCGTCTTAGAACATTTCGTATATGCGTATGTTTTGATCCTAGACATTACAGCCCTGATAAACTGCACAATTGGCCACCATGTGTTTAATGGTATTCTGGAGTTGAAACATGTTTTAACCTAACCCGCCAGATAACCAGATAATGCTATTGGCATATCACCATTTGCTTAATCCACTAAGCGACAATACTACTGGTCATGCCACGTTGTCTACTTGGGACAGTCATGTTGCATGTGTCTGGAGATATCAAACGAGAACAGACCACCTGCTTTCACGAGCGTAGCCTTACTGAATACTATGTTGGTTAAATGCAGGCAATAGTAAACAAATGTGTATAAATGTAAAACTAGCACAGGGGACGGGGGCGTCACTACTGTCACGGTCAGTGTGTTGGTGAGCCCTAATTGCCACCTGCCCTTTAACTTACGGATTATCGTTTGTAATTAAGAGGGTGGCCACTTTGTGAAATCATGATTAAACTCGTTACCACAGTCTATTTAAAAAAAAATTACCCAAGCTGTAACCGGGTTTGAATCTACTAACAGCTACTACTGGCAATGGCATTAGGTAACTGTACTTTTTTTTTTTTGTCCTTTAGCTACCACAGCTCCCCCAACCACAGTTCAAGTTCTGCCACCATCAGTTGCTGCGCGGAAAAAGTCCATGTCGCCATGGATAATTGCTGTGCTTGCTGCCATTGGTGGACTAGTGTTCTTGGTGTTCATTTGTGCTATCATACACTGTTGTGTATTGAGAAAGAGAAAAGTCAAGAAGCGAGGTATACGAAAATGATCTGTTTGGAGACATTCTTATTGGTCTAAAAGGCCCAATATTAGTGTCTCCAAAATCAAAAAATGTATGCGTTACAAGATGTTGGGGGAATGGAAAACCTCCGCCTCTACGATGTATTTGTGACAGCCTTCGATAGTCAGAGTCAATTACGTAAATAACTCATCTCTTTCGTTGTTGTTGTTACTTCATTTGAATGGAAAGCAGTATTTTCAGCTTATTCTGAGTAGGTTCTAGCATGACAAAATGTACGTTCACACTTGGTTTAACAGATCTCAAATTAAATTTTGTAGCTATTTTTTGGTTTATCTTTATCACTGGATAACTAAATTTGTAGTTAGTTAATGAGGTATACAGTGGTCACGAAAATGATCATTGTGATAAACAGCCATCCCCTATGGGATGAAGGCAGTAGCGATAGTTGCTTTTCACTCTTTCCATCTTGGTAAACCACTGGCTTTGTTTCTTGTTTAATGACTTACTTACCTTGCTATAATTCAACATGTGAATAGGTATAAAAACCCTATTACTATGTATTATAGCAAACTGTTATATTTCGAAATTTAAATAAAAGTTGAAAGTTGATAGCAAATACTTTCCTATCGCAATGAGACCATACTGACATCCCAGAGAGATTTTTCCTTTTCAGGATGGAGACGAGGAGAAACACTTTTGTAATGGTCCCCAAATTTTTGAGGATTGTGGAATGTTTTCTCCCATGACCTGATGATATAGCTTAAAGACAGTGGAAATAGCCTTTGAAAAACAATAACCATCTTTATTTTTTTTGTGGATTATTTGAGAAACCTGTCGACCATATTTGCGAGTAAAGGAAGGCCCTGGAGAGAAGTTAGAGAATTTGTTTACATTGCATGCCAACCATGAGTCTTACTCATTTGTTTACATGCCATTTGTCCTTGTTTACCTATTACAGGCATATGTCAACGGTACGAGGAATCAACGTAAGTACTGGTCGGCTTCTTTATTTTGTTCTATTCGTTCGAAGTATGCCCTCCTTATTAGTGTGACCAAAACTATGCATTCAGTGCTTCTTAGAAAAGAAAAGTTATCATTTTGTTAGGGGTCCATTTTTTGGCTCCCCTTCAACTAACGTGTTCTTACAACCCCTAATCCCCTTTTACGGGGAAGATCAAACAAATATCTTAAGGTGTTGATTTACTTCCTTTTGACAGTGGTAAATGGATCGATCTGCCTCAAGTCGGTGATGGGAAAGGATCTGACGAGGTTTACGGGTATACAGGACCTGGAGCTTATATTCATGAGGGACCCACTGTAAGGGTACCAGCTAACCAGGTACATTTTTTTCTGACTTCTTGGCAGAAGAAAATTAAATTTTGGAAACCTTGAAACATTTTCTTTTCACATGGGACAAGAAATGGTTTGGACAAAATTCTGTTAGGACAGAGAAAAAGCCGGTTTTTTTATTGCGAATCAGGGAAAACGGGAATTTTGAGTACAAAAAAAATGAATAGATTACATATACTTAGGTCAGAGCAGTAATTTAGGTTACTGTTATCCAAGGAATATATGCAAACAATACAAGATGTTAGATATTAAACAACTACTTGTCCAAAAAGTGTTTCGTTGAAATTCTACCAAACATTGGCAAATGCGTTGGGAAGCTTCTTTATATTTAGTTAGGAGATTTTGAGAATGGTCTCTGCGCTAGCCTTGTTTATGGAATATGTTAGTCAGGGTAAATCCATCGCCCTAAAGTAACTTCAGTCTAAATGTTAATGTTTTTCAGGAAAATGGCTATCACAGTGGTATTTACGAAAGAACTCCTGATGAGCCAAAGCCATCTGTCGTTCAATTCAGTGATAAAGCTAATGGTAATGTCTTGATTAATGTTTCTGCCTGACAAAAAAGGGCAGGCCGTGCTTGATATTAGGTATTTTAGCCTTTTGATTGCATTAGATGAGCATGGAATCATCATCAACCTGAAGTTAGCAATTCTGTATTGTTAAGCACCTGCTTCAGTGCCCTAAATTCCTTGTAATCCATTTTCTTAAATAACTTAAAGCTGGCTCCACACAAGTTATTTTGTTTGTCTTCAGCTCACCAAAAGATCGCTTTGTGTAGATATCTTTCTAGTGCACTAGATACACTTTACACGGCGTTTTGTCTCATACTTGTTACCTCTTGGGTACGTTTGTCATGTGATATACACTTCCCCATGTTACCATCTCCTCTTTTTTGTTAAGCCTGTCAAACCTGTATTAGATATAGGCAGCTGGCCTGTTGGTCATTTTTCAAGGGCTACTGCTTAATGCAGGTCTGACGGTATTTTATCTTTATCGTCCTACCTTCTCGGGGCAGGACTCGAACCCCTTGTCTTGTTATTGGCAAAGTCCCTTTGGAGGCTTTAATCTGTTTATGCTTTACCGATCCAACTCAATTTTGGTATCTCTTTTTAAGGTGCGTCCACAGAGTTTTAGTGAGAGTCTGCGGTAAGGTGATGGTGGAAAGTGATCCATCGCAGCAGTTTAACGTTATCAGAGTGGAAACTACATAGCATTCTGGTTATGTAGAGAAACGTCATCCGCCTTTACTTTGTCAGTGGAAAGATTTGCCAGAATCAGAAACGAGGAAATCTCGTGGCGGAGCACTCTATTCTTTGGACTGCAGTGTATACACATTTTGATGTTATTCTGCTTATTGTGTGAGCAGCAATAAATTTTTTTTTTGTTTTGTACCTTTGACTGACTTTTTGGTGAATCGAATCCGTTCATACTTTCCAAATTAAATTGGTTACCTCGTCCTTTTCCAGACATCACTAACACCGAGATTGGCGGGGTTTACCGTTACAGTAAAAAAAAAACCGCGACTAAGAACCTGCATTTTGACAAGTTAGCCTAAACAGGTTCTTACATAAATAGTAATTAGCACAGATTTAGGCTATTTGGTTTCTTAAATAGGTTCTTGTTTTCTGACGTAAAAAAATCACTTATTAGCTTATTCATTATATTAAATCTGCATACGAAATTAGTATTTATGTAAAAATGACTTTTAGAAGAAAGACTGAAGCACTGACCACATGAATTTTAAAGTTCCTTTGTCCAAGTTTACAGAATTTTATTCATAAATTTTAGAAAATAACAACCTGTTTGAAATTTTAGGCTAAACAGGTTATTGTATAGAGGAAACGGGTTTTTACTGTACTATCACCTAAAATACGAAGAAAGAAACAATGCTTATTAAATGTTGGGGGCGGGGGGCAAATAAGGTGCCTTATGGGAGATGTGCAAGTGGCGAACACAATAATTGCTAATTAATTATCCATGGTGCTTTTCTTAGCATCACGAGCTTGACACTCGACGATAGAACAACACTATGAAAAGATGACCATAGGTATA